GCCCCGATCCGGCAGTGCTTGCAATTGGAGCTGTGTTCAATTCCCGTCCTCCAAAGCATTTGTGGTGGCTCCCGGCAGGTTGGATCAATGCAATTTTCTTCTCTTGTCCGACATCGGAGCAAACCATCGAGCGGTGCCGGTGCTCCTCCGTGCTGTTAAATTCCAGGGCTCCCAACTAGAGATATCGAACCCTTAATAACCACTTTCCATTTTTGACTCTCTCCTCTCCTGCTGCTCCTCCAGTTCTCCGCAGTGTTGGCTAGGGGGTGTATCTCTCGCTGGGATAATCTGTTTGAGGTGCTTCTCCACAAAAGTGCTGGATCTATCTCAGCATCTCCCGGTGGGATTAAAATGGGTCCATCTTCGCAGGTGGATCTGCGTGTGCTCTGTGTGGGGTTTTCTTGGATATTAAGTGGGTTTGTGGTGTGAGAGTCCTCATCTCCATCTGGGAAACCCCTTTCTGTGGCCAGTGGTGCAGGTGATTGGTGTTGCCAGTGGGGAGAGTCTGACCCTGAATCGAGCAAAGCCATGGACACCAAATCCCTCCTAAGGGAGGAGGTGATGGATAGTGGAGCAGTCGGAGCCGTGGGGTGTCCTTCTCCGTGCTGGAGCCCGCACGGGAGGACTGAGCATCCCATTTTGGGCAAGGACCCGTCTCAGTCCCTCTCCTTTCCCACAGGTGTCCCATCCGGCCCCCGCAACGTCATCTCCATCGTCAACGAGACGTCCATCATCCTGGAGTGGCACCCGCCGCGGGAGACGGGCGGGCGGGACGACGTCACCTACAACATCGTCTGCAAGAAGTGCCGCTCGGACCGACGCGCCTGCTCCCGCTGCGACGACAACGTGGACTTCGTGCCCAGGCAGCTGGGGCTGACTGACACCCGCGTCTTCATCAGCAACCTGTGGGCGCACACGCCCTACACCTTCGAGATCCAGGCTGTCAACGGGGTTTCCAACAAGAGCCCGTTCCCGCAGCAGCACGTCTCCGTCAACATCACCACCAACCAGGCTGGTGAGTCCCAGGGGGATGCTGTGCCCAGGGGGGGTTTGGCTGTACCCCCTGCCAGATGCAGGTTCTGTGTGAAATGAAGCTCCTGGTCCCAAAGGAAAAGCCCCCGGGGTGTGAGTGGGGTGTGATGGCTGCGGTAAAACTGCCCCCAGCCCTGGGTGGGGAGAAAGACCAGGAAAAGAGGAGGGAAGAGGGATGGGGAGGTGGAGGGGTTGCCTGTGCCCTGGGCAGAGGGAGAGCTGCCTTGCAGGAGTGATATCCAATATGTGCTTTTTATCCTGCTCTAGATCTCTTGGGGATAAAATGGCATTGCCATTTCCCACTTTTCCCCAGGTGGGAGCAGGGAGATGGGATGAATCCAGTCTTGAAATGCAGCCTGGCTGTATTAAAGCACAGAGAGCAGCATTCCAGGGCTGAGTTCTATCTCCTCTGGCACATCCCTCTCCCATTATTTTCTGCTTGTCCCCTTTTCCAGTCTCCTCTGCCCCTTTGCCTCCCTCTTCCCACTCAGGAATCAGGAACTGGACAAGTGGCTCTGGGCCAAACCGGGATGCCAGTGGGATGGGTGTGCAGATGGCAAGGGGGGAACTGGTCCCAGGCTGCCCTGAGTAGCACAGGGAATGGAGGAGGTGGAAACCCATCTGCTCTGGGCAGAGAAAGGGGATGATAATTCCTGCTTTATGCCGAGTGTGTAATGCCGGGAGCCTTCACCATCCTGCTCCCTTGGGAGAACATGATGGGGAAACCTGGTGTAAATATTTCAGTCTCTTGCCTCCAGGGAATACAAATCTACACTCGTACCTGGCTGGCATTGCCATCTGCTGAACCACGACCAATCAAACCTGCTTCCTCTTTTTGGGCCTTTTTTATGGGGCGGGATTTTGGGGTATTTCTTAGCTCTTCTGCCCTGGGGAGCTGGGAAGAGCCAGGTCACCCTCATCTGTCTGTCCATACCCCTGTGCTCCCTGTTTGTCTTGCAAAGGCTGAATGTTCATGTGGAAATGCTGGGCCATGGGGTAACCTGATGGAAAGGCAGCAGCACTGTCATGGGCAGTGCTCCCCCTCTAAAATCCCTTTGGCTTTGCTGTGGATTTTTCCAACCATTTTCCCAGCCTGATCCATGCTAACGGGAATTAACAAAACATCAGTTTGTTTAATTTCAACCCACGAGCATCTCCCCAGAGAGGATGTGGAGAGATTAAAAAAAATAATATAGGATTAAATATGCCAGGTAAACAAAGATGGTGCTAAACTATCAACATCTCCCATTGGGGCCACAAGGAACAAGGTTCCTGCCACCCTCGGATTCCCTCCATGGCATGAGCCTGTGCCCCAAGCTGGTCGTGCCAGGCTCAGCTCTTCCCTGGATCCACACAGGGGAAGCATTTTCCTTTCCTGCACTCGGCATGGCGAGGAGGAGGAGGGCAGGGAGGGCTGGATAGGGAGCTGACTGTGTGAACAGGACATGCCAGTGCCCCTTTGGGTGTGGAGAGACTTGAATACCTCTCTGGGAAACTTTTGGTAGGATTAAGGGCAGGATCAGGGCTGTACTGACCGGCTCTGGTCCTTTTAAGTATAATTTGCAGGGCAAAAAGCCTTTGGAAAAGTGGTTCCTGACTAATTTAGTGTCTCAGTGTCCTTAATGGTTGGAAGGACAGTGTTCTGCTGCCGGGGGTGCTCAGCTCCAGAAATGCATGACTCCAGGGCTGCACAGCTCCAGGGATTCTTGACTCTGGGGCTGCACAGCTCCGTGGATTCTTGGCTCTGGGAATGCACAGCTCCAGATATGGTTGGCTCTGGGAATGCACAGCTCCAGGGATGGTTGGCTCTGGGAATGCACAGCTCCAGGGATGGTTGGCTCTGGGAATGCACAGCTCCAGGGATGCTTGGCTCCCCAGCAGGTACCGAGCAGCCCTGGGATCACTCTGGTGGGTGCAGGGAGCAGGGCAGGGAGCAGTGGCAGTGGGGAGGATGTGCCTGGCAACTGTTTTGGAGAAGGGGCTCGCTGAGCTCTGGTCTGGTGCATGAACTGAAATATTATGGGCTGCTTTGCAGAGTGGTGTGGTGTGTGGCATAGCTGGTGGGACTGATTAGAAACATGTGGCAGGGAGGGAAAGGGGTTGGACCCGATGCCAGTGCCAAACGTTCTGCTTTCTCCAGGGATGCTGTGACAGGATGCCTGGGACCCCTGTGCTGTGCTGCCCAGGGGGTCTTGGGGGCTGCAGGGATGGAGGTGCTGCCTTCTGAGCACCCTTGTGCCATGGCCTGAGGAGATGAGAGATGGCTTGAGACTGTTTTGCAAGTGTTTGGGCTTTGGAAATAGAACTCTGTGGGGAAGCATGTTTGAGTAATGAGAATGAGCATCCCCCGAGAGCTCCTAAGAGCAGATCCAGCAGCTCCTCTGGAGCCGAAGCTGTTCTACAGGCTCCTCGCTGGGGTGTCCCCTGGTTTCCCATCATTGTCCTGAGGTTGGCAGATTTTTGCTCCTACATCCCATTCCTGACAGCACGTGGGGTGGCAGCTGTGGCACAGGCTCCCTGGATGCTGGGTGTTGGATCCCCAGAGAGGCTGTTACACCAAGAGATGTCAAGCAGAGCTGGAGGCTGTCACCAAGCCTTGTTTGTTCCCACTGGGGAGAGCTTTGCTGTCTCTGTCCCACCGTGGGAGACATCCTTGGAGCGAGTAGTCCCAGGGAGAAGGAACACCAAGGATTTCTAAGCCCCTAATTAAAAAGAATAGTTGGTTTAAATACCAGAATTCCCTCGCCAGCTCACTGCTCTGCTTCCACGTAAGCTGCTGAGATGCCTCTCTTCCCACTGCTAATGAGTGAGCTTGTCCCACGAGTCTAACAATCGCAGGCATGGGAGACTTGGGATGGTCTGTGTGCCCAGGGGATTTTCCCCCTTCCCAGGGCTGTTTTCTCTACCCCTCTCCATTAATTTTCCCTCTCTCCCCTCTTCCTCGGCAGCACCCTCCACCGTCCCCATCATGCACCAGGTGAGTGCCACGATGAGGAGCATCACGCTGTCCTGGCCCCAGCCCGAGCAGCCCAACGGGATCATCCTGGACTACGAGATCCGCTACTACGAGAAGCTGAGCCGCATCTGCACGCCCGACGTCGGCAGCTCCGTGGGCGCCAGGCCGGCACCGGTGAGCTCGGGGGAAACCCTGCCATGGAGGGGGACTGGGGGGCACTGGGGCTGCTCAGGGCCTGAGCCTGCTGGGAGAGGGGGAACATCGATGGGCTCTGAGTCAGGCTCTGCTGGGAAGGGTCCACGTGGAACAGGCGGCGGGACAGGCACCAGGTCACCTGGGCTGCCTCCGGAAGGTGGGAGCGATGTGCAGCCAGGGGGAGGGGAGAGATGTGGCTACAAATGCTAATTCACAGACTCACAGAATGGCTTGAGTTGGAAAGGACCCTAAAGTTCGTCTGGTTCCAACCCCCCTACCATGGGCAGGGACACCTCTCACCAGACCAGGTTGCTCAGAGCCCCATCCAACCTACGCCATTGCTCCTCCGGTGCAGTATTTTGTCCAGCACATCAGTGCCTGTGCCTGCCTTGGCTCCGGTATCTGTTAGGATGAGCAGGGACCTGGAGCGAGGGGACAGTGTCTGGAGGAGGGGAGGAGGCCAGTGAGGGCTGGTGAAGGTTGCTGGGTTGTCCCTGTCCTGGGTCACTGCGTCCAGTCCTTTCCCTGGCAGCTGTCCTTCCCCGCAGGGGACACGCTCCCGACCCCTGCGCTGAACCGTGCCGTGCCCGAGCTGTTCCATCCCTCCTGTGTCTTGCCAGCTCTAATGAATTCCTCTAAATGTGAATAATTAGATGATCTCACCAGTGGCCTCTTACCAGCAAATCACCGGGGAATGTGGCAAAAAATGAGATTGGAGACACAGGAGGTTTCCACCAAGATTTAGCACAAGGTTTAGCCAGCACAGCAGGGACTGCAGGAGCTGGGGCTCTCAGCAGAGGCAGGTTGCCCTTGAACCTGCTTGAACAAACCCTTGTAGGGCACATTATGGTGTTTTATGGAATCTCAGAATCATTTAGGTTGGAAGGGACCTTAAAGATCATCTAGTTCCAACCCCCTGTCAGGTTTCCATAGCTGTGTGATGTTTCTGAAAGGCACAGGGACATCAGTGGTTTGAAGAGGAGGAATTTGTGGCTCATAAGAATTTTTGATCTGGATGCTCTTATTGTTTCTCCCTGCTGCTCCATGCTCCATGCTGTGGTGGGACCAGGGAGGCTGCCTGGGAGGCCTGTGCTGCAGGGACATCCCCAGCTCCTTGGAGGCCAGGCAGAGCTTGTGGGTCCTGTTTCATAGAATCATAGAATGCCCTGGGTTGGAAGGGACAATAAAGATCATCTCATTCCAGCCTCCCTGCCACGGGCAGGGACACCTTCTACTACCCCAGGTTGCTCCAAGCTCTGTCCAACCTGGCCTTGGACACTTCCAGGGATGGGGCAGCCACAGCTTCTGTGGGCAACCTGTGCCAGGGCCTCCTCGCCCTCCCAGGGAAGGATTTCTTCCCAATATCCCACCTAACCCTGCCCTCTGGCAGTGTAAATAGTCCCTCTCCATCTTCAGGTACTGGAAGGCTGCAATTAGCTCACCTCAAAATCTTCTCTTCTCCAGGCTGAACAGTCCCAGTTCTCTCAGCCTCTCTTGTGGGATCCTCCGTGTCAGGGACGCTCCCGAGGCAGAAGCAGGGCCTCTACTTTATCCCCGAGCAGCTAAACCTCATCCCTGCTATCCTGGGGGGCGGGTGGGCCCTGCTGTCCCTCGTCCCTCCACCTCTGACCGTCCCTCTCGGCCGTGCCCGCAGGACCACAACGAGTACAACTCCTCCATGGCCCGGAGCCAGACCAACACGGCGCGGATCGAGGGGCTGCGGCCCGGCATGGTGTACGTGGTGCAGGTGCGGGCCCGCACCGTGGCCGGCTACGGCAAGTACAGCGGGAAGATGTGCTTCCAGACCCTGACGGACGGTGAGCGAGCGTGGGAGGGGTGGGTGGTTGTCTTTCCAGCCGCGGCTTCACGCTCTAATTGGATCAGAGGAACTTGTCTCCATGCTGCTCTGTCCCAGCGGGCAGCGTGGCGGGAGCCAGGTGATTCACAGCGGTGTCTCGTTAGCCGCCAGCTGGAGGAGTGATCCGCCTGGAATCTCCTGGCTCCGCGTTTCCCCCGCTGTTCGGCTGCACTTCTGCCTTTGCCTCCTCCAGCCGCGGTGACAGAACCCCCTGCCACGGGCTCTGAGCCTAGCACAGTGGGATGGGGTGGGAGGAGGGTTGTAGAGCCTTGGAGGAAGGACTCTGGGATACTCAGAGCCACATTTGAGCCATCAGGGCAAAGCTGGAAGGGTCAGACCCATGACTGAAAGGTGATTTCCCACCCCAAGGTGGGACCCTCAGCTCATGACCTTCATGGCTTCTTCTGGCCTCCTTGCCAAAGTCATGCTGCCTTTTTTCTGGCCCCAGCCCTTTCCTGCACCCACAAACACTTGATTCCTTTATAGACTACTAACTCATGGGAGGGTTTTTCAGTAATCCCAGCTTCAGGACTAATCCAGAGGCTGGTGAGTGAAACAAGGCTCCTTTTGTGGTCCTCTCACCCCTGAAGAGAGAGAGAGCCCCTTCCCTGCTGCTGCTGGTATGACTCCTGCTTTGCTCAGGTGACATCCATGGCTCCCAGACTCGCTGCCTGTCTTTCCTAAAGCTTTTCTTCTTTCCTAAAACTTTTTTTCTGTCCTAAAACTGGGTCACCCCATACTCACATTCATGTTGAGTGCCAGCTGGAGTGGGAAGAGGAAAACCACGTAGGGCAACCAAAGGGAAGGAAATGGTAATAAACCCCCCTCCAATGCCTTGGATATTCAGGATTAGAGAAGCAAGAAGAAAAATCCTGCCTCAAATAAGCAATTAATTGAAATTTAATAAGAAAGGGTAGTGTAGATTATTAAATAATAATTGATTGTTAGATGAGAATTTCTCAGGATTTAAGCAGCATGCAAGAGATAAATCTAGTTGGCAGTAATTAACTGCAGAGTAGAAAAATACAGATAAAAGGGTGCTAAATGCTTTCTTTCAGATGAATTTTATTTTAACCCTTGTGTGGGGTGGCTGGCACAGCCTGGCAGACCTCACTGGAGGTGGTTGGGGAAGGGAGTGTCTCTGGAATGCTACAGAAGTCCCCAGGAATGTGGGATCTGCTGGATACTGCCTGTTGAGGGCACCCACACTGCTGACAGGGGAGGGGATACAGGAGGGTGCAAGTGGTTTTCTTGGAGTTCCTCCGGGCGTGTCCAGTCCTCCCTGTGCCACCTTGGCTTTCACCCCAGCCTGCTGCTGAAGGCCACAGCAGGTGGCTGAGGGGACACAGAGGGTTCCAAGGGGACACAGGGGGTTGGAAAGATGCTCAGTGGGGAAGGGGTGCTGTGGTTGACATGGCTCTGCAAAAGAAGCTGTCACATGCAATCTGTGGAGATGTTAAAACCCACAAGCACACCTGCAGTAAAGGTGCCCAGGTTCTCCTGGGCCTCACTCTCAAGGTCATCTGTTGCATGGTGGACTCTCTGGCTGGTTTGATTATTAATGGGATCTTTTCTCTTCCTCCTTTCCTACAACAAGTAGGAATTTTGTGTCTGTGAGACCCCGCGTTAAAATTGGTTAAAGTGACCAACAGGTTTAAATCATAGAATCCCAGAATGGTTGGGGTTAGAGGGACCTTAAAGATCATGCAGTTCCAACCCCCTGACACTAGACCACATTGTTCAATAAATAAATTTATTGAGGAAAGAGAAATGCCAGAGCACAGACAAACCACCTTGTGAACCTCGTCTCTCCAGGAAACTGGGCCCACGCACATCGGTTTGACTTTATTCCCAGGACCTTCTCCTCCATATTTTCAACCCCAAGCTGTGTGAGCTGAGCGTGAAAGTCCGTCCCTGTGCAATGCAGCACCGGCTCAACCGATGCTCCTGCCTGGATCCTCCCTGTCCCATCACCCTCCCATGGGAACAGCACCCATGGAATCAGAGGGGGGCATTACAAGATCCTTTCCCAGAGGCTGCTCTTACCCCCAGGGAGAATTCACCCCATCCCTCTTCCCTTGCAGACGACTACAAGTCGGAGCTGAGGGAGCAGCTGCCGCTGATCGCGGGGTCCGCGGCGGCCGGGGTGGTCTTCATCGTCTCACTGGTGGCCATTTCCATCGTCTGCAGCAGGTGGGTCCCTGTGGGATGCTGTGTCCCTGCAAGGCGGAGGTGGTAAGGTGTAGATTTGGGGTAGGAGGGGAGGGATGGGGGACCCCTGTAGCTGCAGAAAGCACCGAGATGCCACTGCTCCTGGAGTGTTGCTGGCGGGGAAGCGGGTTGTGGCCACCAGCAGCTGCTGGTCCCTGAAGCCTGTCTTGTTTTCTCCCTCTCCTCTCCCAGGAAGCGAGCCTACAGCAAGGAAGCTGTGTACAGTGATAAACTGCAGCACTACAGCACCGGCCGAGGTGAGTGGGGCAAAGAGGGAATGGGAGGGTGATCCCTAATCTGCACCCGGCATCTGCCCCACTCCTCTGCCTTCAAAGGGGTGGAAGCCCCTTGGGCAGGTGGAGAGGACCATGGGGAGGGAGTAGAGATGACCACAAATGTGTGTCAGGCTGTCGGGGTGGTTTGCAGTGGTGCAGCACTGTAGGTAGGAAAAGAAGCGTGCCAGGAGGGATTTGGGGGATGATGAGGGATTTTGGGGGATGCAAGGGGTAGGGGCATGTAGGGAACAAGGGCTGGGGAGAGGATGCTGTGAAGGCTCACAAAGGAGAAAGGAAAGGAGAGAAGTGGTGTTCAGAGAGAAGAGGAGCTTCTCATCTCCTGCCACAGGCTCTGCCTCTGCCACAATCAGTGCTGGGCTATATGGATTTTGGGAGCATTGTTGGGGAGTGTGGGCTGATGGCTGGCACTGCTGCTGTCCTGTCCTGATGTTTGCCCTGTACCCCGCTCCAGGAAGGATGTGCAGACAGTGACTGGGAAGGTTTAACTGGCTTTGGGCTGCTGATCCCCTTGGCAAATAATTGGGAGAGCCTGAGCTTTTCCTGAGAGACCTCTGTGGTTGGTGGAGCTGTGCACCATAATAAATCCGAGGTGTATTTGTGTGGAATGTCTGTCAGGTGCCCCTCCAGCAGCCAGCACTGGAAATGATAATAAAGCAGCAAAGCAGCAGCTTTTTTTGGGGGGGGATTTGCCACCTGGTGCCCACAGGCTCCATGCCCCATCCCTGTGGGATGTAAATCTGATTTACACTCTCCTAGAGATGCCTCTCAGGTGCAGTTGGCTGCCTTGTGGGAAGAACCATCTCTGGGTCCTGGGCACCTGCCTGGGGAAAAGGGATATGGGATGCAGAGATGGATGAAGGATGGCTGGGGAAGGCAGGGAGCAGAATGGATGAGCAGAGGAGAGGGATGGAGATGGAGTGACCAGACTGGCAGAAAAATTCAGGAGGGCTGAGAGGGCTGGAAAGGGGTTGGAGGCAGCAGGAGAGCCCAGCCAAGCCAGAAAAGCACACTGGATGTCGTTTGACCTTCTCAGCTTCTTCCCAAACCCTCCCAACGTGATGGCAGCACTGTGGGGGGCCTAAACCTCCCGGCAAACAATAAACTGTTTTCCCAACATCACCGGGTGATCCTGAAATACAACAGACCCGTGCTTTTCCTCCCCGTTTCCTCCACGTTTCTGCACTGCAGGGAGCAGGGCAAGATTTATTTGATGCCTGATGGCTGAACCCGTGTCAGGCTGCAGGTGGACTGATTTTTCCCATTTTCCCCCGGTTTTGAAGCATTCCCCACCCCATGTGTGTCTCTGGCTTGCTCCAAGCACCCCAAATCCCGGGATACTCAAACTAGGTAGGGAAGCAATGAAGCACATGCCTGTCTTTGTTTTTTAAACCTGGTGGATGTGAGGATTGGTGTGTGAAATCCGGGGGTGCCGGCGCTCCCGGACTCCTGTCAAGGTTAGTGAGCCTCCGGGTGCTCCGTTAGTGCAGATGCTCGAGGAAAACAGGTGGAAAATTTGTGGTGAGCAACTAATGGAGTAACGAGAGCATCCTCTGGAACAAATCACTCTGTGTTAACTGGCACAGCAATTACAGCCTCCCAGCACAGCTCTGCCATCCCTCCGGCAGCCCCCCCGGGATCGCTGCCGCTGCCAAGGACTGCCCCGGCTGGGTTTTGGGGTGACATGGGGTCTCTCAGGCTGTGATTTTTCGTGGTTTATCTCTGCCACTGCTTCACTGGGAGCTTTGAGATTGGGAAAACAGGGAAAGCACCCTGCTGAAGCACTAGCGATTCAGCAGGAGAGGTTTTTTTCTGTTCCCAAGATAATTATTCCCAAGGGAAAACGATGTGAGAAGGAATTGGACACTGGATTCAGGGACAACTTTTGAAGAGTGATAAAAAATTTGCCATAGTCTGCAGCAGTGATAAATGACCTAATCCAGTTTTTAGGAGTATTGGGATGATGTTAAGAGCACGAAGCCCTTTTTGGTGCTTTTGGTGGTGTGCTTCAGTACCCGGAATTTCACTCAGCTTCTGCCAGCGATGATTAGGGTTAGGGTGGCTGAGGTTTGCAGAGTTGAGGAGTGGATTTAGCTGCCCTAATCCCACTCATTTGGGTGGGATGAGGATGAGGATAAGGGGGGAGCTGACCCTGGTGTTTACTGAGTGCATGGGCAGACCCTGGGGCAAATCAGAGGGTGTTTGAAAACCAGTGACAGTGAGCAGGAAACTTTGGCATTGTTTTCTCCTCTATTTTTTCAATACGTTGATCAGCGAGTCAGTCTCCGTTACGATCCTGTAAATCCCTCTGTAATCCTGGCTGGAGCATCAGCTGCTCTTGTAAAAAAATTTATGGGGCAGTTAAAGTGTATGAGACAGAGCTGTAAAGGGATTTATGAACTGGGAGATGCACAGATGGCTTCATTGCAGCCTTCCCCACCTCCGAGGTGCAGAGCTTTTGCCCCAAGCGCCTCTTTTGGGGGTGAGGGTGCTCCTGCCTGGTCCCTCCCCGGTCCTTGATGCCCCACAAGCAGCTGTCCCTCAGTGGCTGTTTGGCACCAGCAGTGCCCACTGCAAGGGTTTTGTGGCTCCTCCTGAATTACTTTGCAGACGGGGGAGCTGATTTGGATTCCTGGCGCAGAGGTGATGCTGTGGTCCATGCATCCATCTGTGTGTCAGCTCTAGAAGGACGCTGGGAAGCACCAATGTGACAGGATCATGGTCCTTGGTAATGTCCTGGACAGAGTAATCAAATCACTGTAAGGACGAGGTGCCTTAGGGAGAGGGACCAGGCAGTGATGTCCCTCCTGGTGTCCTCCAGAGATGACCCTGAAGGGCTGCTCCGCCATCCCTGGCCCCTTTTTTTGGACGAGAAATAGCACAGGAAGCTGAACTTCCCCTGGGAGGACCACAGCCCATTCTGGGTCCCCGTGGTACAACACTGGGGGTGGCTGTGACCTCACTCTGCCCTGCAACCGTGCCCCCTGGCAGCTCCACAAGCCCCTGGGCATCCAAACACAATGTCTGCAAACCCAATCTGGGGAACGTGGGGGTCTGTTTTGTTTTTTTCCACCACTGAAAAAGGGCAAGAGCCCACTTGCAGCATCCCCTGCTCCGTGTTGCCCCCGTGCAAGGGACCGCACACGTGTCACAGTGCCCGGCCAAGCTGGATTTTCATGGATCCATCCAGGTTGTTGGTTATAATTGCTGCACTCTGTCAATTTAGTAGCTGCCACAAAGCTATCAGAGGCCTTTTTGGATAAATAAATATTTCTTCACTAACGTGTGGAGCCTCATAAAGCCTTCACCGTAAAGCCAGCACGTTGTAGTTCAGGTCTGTAACTGCTCCCATTGCCAGGGAGGAGGAGGAGGAGGAAGGATAACAGTGGAGGTGTGGAAGGCAGAGGAGGAAAGGAGGGTTGCAGGGGAGAGCTGGGTGCAGTGGGGGGACCAAACTCCAATTCTTGGCCATGGCACAACTGCTCTTTGTTTCCCAGGCTGCTTGATGGATGACTTGTGGATGCTCCATCCCTGGGACTGTTCAAAGCCAGGTTGGAGGGGGCTTGAAGCAAACTGGTGGAAGGTGTCCCTGCCCACGTCAGAGGGTGGAACTGGATGAGCTTTAAGGCCTTTCAGCCCAAACCATTCTGTTAATTCTGTATTTTTATAATTCTCTCCCTTTTGCTGTTGTTCCCATCTTTCCTGCACCAAGGGTCTCCGGGGATGAAGATCTACATCGACCCCTTCACCTACGAGGACCCCAACGAGGCAGTCCGGGAGTTCGCCAAGGAGATCGATGTGTCCTTTGTGAAGATAGAAGAAGTCATTGGAGCAGGTGGGTCTCACCATCTCCTGCTGCCCATCCCTCCCTGCCCTGTCTACCACTCCTGTGTGTCCAGACATGCACCTGGAGCAATTTTCTGGGGAAGCACACGTGGTCCTTCACCGGGAAACAGTCAAGGAAGCCTTCAGACATTTCTGGATTTGTGAGAGGTGAGGGTGGACAAGAGGTTGGCTTATGCTGTCAAAGTGCCTCTAAGGTGGGAAAGGCTCCAGGAATGTATTCACTGGCTGACCATGGGGCCTCTTGGGATTTCCCACTTGGCTTTTCCATGAGATAACAAGAAAAGCCAGATCTCACTATAGTCTGTGCCATATTCCCATACATATGTATATATACACACACGTGCACGTATGTGTGTGTCATCTGTGCTGTTTCTATTGCCATTTTTAAATAACTATGTCATACTCTTAGGAGAGAAAGTGAGAAGCTGTTGAGGGGAAGCTGTGAAGAAGCAATGACTTAGTTTGGTCGTGATCAAGTTCAGTGATGTATCACCTGCCCTTTTGCTGCTCGTAAAAAGGCAAAGTAACTGCAAACCTGGCTTAGATGTAATCCCTCCACACACAAATTGTGCCTTGCTGAAGGAAAAGCTCTCCTGCTGGAAAGGAGAGGACACTTTCTTCATATTTTAAATCAGAGAGCAGACATGTAAACAGATCAATTATTTTCCATCCCAAGATAAGTGATGTGCAAAAAGGCAGCTGAGATTATCAGTGCTGACACCTGATATTTGAGGTCATCCTTAAATGTTGAAGCTCTTGCTCTGCAAATCCTTCTTGTGGGGGTCTGCAAGAGCAGCCCCAGCCTTTGCTTGTGTTGGTGTTGGGCTTTGTCACCTCGAAGAAGGTTGCAAGCCTAAACACGTCCCCAGCAGCAGACGTTGCCCCTTCTAGAGAGGACAAATGAGCAGATTTGTAGAGGAGAGTGTTGTTGAAGTGTGAACTGGCTGCCATTTCTCATCTGGTTGGTCTGGAGACCAAACAGCCCAAGATACTACTGCTCTTTGCAATGTTTTACGTGGAGGAGGAGGAGGAGGTGGTAGCAGATGGTCTTGAGGCACTTGATGCTCTGATCTGGTTGACAAGGCGGTGACCGCTCAACAGTTGGACTCGATGACCTTGGAGGTCTTTTCCAACCTGAATGATTCTGTGATTGTCTTGCACTTGCAGGGGAGTTTGGAGAAGTGTACAAGGGCCGCCTGAAGTTGCCGGGCAAGCGGGAGATCTACGTGGCCATCAAAACGCTGAAAGCCGGTTACTCGGAGAAGCAGCGGCGGGACTTCCTGAGCGAGGCCAGCATCATGGGGCAGTTCGACCACCCCAACATCATCCGCCTGGAGGGCGTGGTGACCAAGAGCCGGCCGGTCATGATCATCACCGAGTTCATGGAGAACGGCGCCTTGGACTCCTTCCTGCGGGTAGGACGAGCCGGGGCTGTGGGGACTGTTGTTCGGTTGTGGGATTCGGGAATGAGATGTTGGTGTCCCGTTCGTAAATCCCAGCCTGTTTGCTTGGGTCGGGAGCTGGTTGCAGTGTGCCATGCACCCCAAAAATGTGTGTTCTGGTGCTGGTTACCTCTGCTTTAATCAGGCAGGGCAGCTGGATGGTCCTCTGGGGAGGTGCAGCATCCCCCTGAGGTTGGGGCGAGCGCCCTGTCCCACGGTGGGCTCTGTGCACTCACCCCAGCACCTGCTCTTTGTGGCCGCAGCAAAACGACGGGCAGTTCACAGTGATCCAGCTGGTGGGAATGCTCAGAGGGATCGCTGCTGGGATGAAGTACCTCGCGGAGATGAATTACGTGCACCGGGATCTGGCTGCCAGGAACATCCTGGTCAACAGCAACCTGGTGTGCAAAGTGTCCGACTTCGGCCTCTCGCGCTACTTGCAGGATGACACGTCTGACCCCACCTACACCAGCTCCTTGGTAGGTACCTCTCGTGAGGTTTTACCCTGCCCAGCGTTCCCCGTGCCTGCCCTGCACCCGCTGCCAGCTGGACCTGGGACAAGGGTGCTGGATGTACACCCTGGCATGGGTGGGAGCATCTCATGAGTGTTCTCATCATGTTATGGTCAGGGTAGTTCCCACGAGTCATCCTCTTTTCCCTCCTTTCTCTTCCTCCTTTTCATGAGTTTTCCACCTCCCTCCTCCCCAGGCATCTTCCTGCCCTCCACAGTTTCCCGATAAGCCTCTTCCCTTTTCTCTGTGGAGGAAAGGTGCACAGAGGGGTCTCTGGAGAGATGGGAAGGGAAGGCAGGGAGATCACAGCAACTCCCACCGGCACAGCGATGGCGTTTTAACTCCCCTTCCCCCAGCACTCCAGGTCTGGACTGCTTTTCCCTGCTGGAAACTTGTTCCATGCATTAATTAAAGGCACAAGCCTAATGGGAGCTCTGCTGTTCCCCAGCCACCCCTCTCCTCCTTAATTCACTCATTCATAGGTAACAGCAGCTCCTCTCTCCCCTGCTCTCACTGCCCCGGGGGACCCCCAGCTCCCCACCATGGCCATCATCCTGCCAGTGAGCCCTGAGCCCCTGAGTGTTCAGGATGACCAGAGGGGAAGGGGATGAGTTAGGATTAATTAGGAGAGCGTGCAGTGGTGCCGGCACGAGGCTGCACCGACTCCTGCCAAAGGAGTTCCTTGGGCTGCCAAGCTGTGCCCAGGCACCAGGGCTGGTCCAGCTGTCAAAATGAGAAAGCCATGGACATGCCTTTAAGGCTGACTCAGCAGCTCGCCAGTTGCAGCCCTTCATTCTCCCTCCCCTGCTCATGGGATGTTTCCATCCCCCCAGACCTGCCCCACACCCTGCCCAGCCCCTCTGCAGGCAGCAGCCTTTGAGCAGACACCCAGCTTTTATTTTTCCTTCAAAGACCCCGGCAGTAGCTGCCGAGATGAGGCATGAATTAGTCTTTCCCCCACCTTCAGAGATAAAAAGAGATTATCTCATCTGTGTTTTTATTTAATTTAGGCCATAATAGATCTCCCTGGCAGCTGGGAAGTGATGCTGTGCCTGCGATTGCATCACTCTGCCTCCCACAGCAGGCTTTTCGCTCCGGGGAAAAGGCAGGAAAAACAACCTAGCAGTTAATTTCTTCATTTGTAGTTATTCAAATCAAATTTTTTGCCATTCATCCCTCAAGAGCAGCTGACGCTTCCTTGGAAAGGCTACAGAAAACAATTGTGCTGAACAATTTACAATGCAGTTCTGCCCCCGGTAAATTCCGTCCATGTCTGTGGTTTTCCTTATCCCTGGGCTCTTTTTGTGGTTATTTCAGCAGAGCTTGCCCAGGGAGCAATCCCTCTGTGTGCTGCCCCTCCTTACATCCCTGCCCCCTCAGCATGGCCTCTGGCCCTGGGACCGGCCCTGTCTTGGTGGAGTGGCTTGAGATGCTGAGCCTGATTCTGAGCTTTTAGGAGAAGCAAACAAACCCTGGCTGGTGGGTATCCAGACTCCTCTGCCAAGGGAGCTATTTCTCAGCTATTTCTCTTTTTCCCCTAGGGGGGTAAGATCCCTGTCAGGTGGACGGCACCAGAGGCCATCGCCTACCGCAAGTTCACCTCGGCCAGCGACGTCTGGAGCTACGGCATCGTCATGTGGGAGGTGATGTCGTTTGGGGAGAGGCCCTACTGGGACATGTCCAACCAAGATGTAAGCACTGGGGGTCATCCAGCCTGCTCTGGGGGCATGTGGGTGGCTCGTTCCCTAAAGAAAGCCCTGCCTGAATGGCTCTCAACTCCTTCCTGGAGCCTCAGGAGCACTTGTTTTGGAGATGAAACAGGCTGGCGAGTGAGAGGATGCAAGGAGGGAAATTGGGAAGAAAAGCCAGTGGGCTGGTAATTGGACTTCAGCAAGCTGCAGGGCCTTTGAAAATGTTCAGAGGGCTTACGAGCAGGGAAGGAGCTTTGGAAGTGTGACTGCTGCACTCTGGCGCGATCTGCCGAGATAATGAGTGGCAGCTCTCCGCTGGGAGGAACTGCGGCGCGCGGAGCATCAGAGCGGAGATTAACCTCGGGGAGCGCCGGAGCCGGGAGCGTCTCCTCCCGCTCCCTTTGCTGCTGATCAGCTGGGCCGGCCTTCCCGGCTGCCTGTGGCACCCGTGCCCGCACACGCGGCCGGCGAGCGCCGCTCACCCCTCCGCCAGCCCCCCGAGCCCCTGCCCCTCACATGCTGCTCTGTCCCCGCTGCCCGCAGGTGATCAACGCCATCGAGCAGGATTACCGGCTGCCCCCGCCCATGGACTGCCCCGCCGCCCTGCACCAGCTCATGCTGGACTGCTGGCAGAAGGACCGCAACACCCGCCCGCGCTTCACCGAGATCGTCAACACCCTCGACAAAATGATCCGCAACCCGGCAAGCCTCAAAACTGTGGCTACCATCACCGCTGTGTGAGTGCCCAGCGCGTGGGAGTGCTCCGTGCTAGCATCCCGAGTGCTCCGTGCCGGCATCCCGAGCCACGGCAAAAGGCTCCCCTCGGCCCCAGAGGGAAGGATGAGAATTCATCAGTCGGTTTGGCAGGAGTGAGGGTTTCTATCTTTGCTCTGCCTGACAGTCAGACAAAGAGCATGTAGTTTTGAGCCAAGCAATAGCAATAATTCTTTGCTATTGATCCTTTATGGTGTGTGACCGTGCGGGCGCGGCGGCTCCTCTGCTGGCGCCTCCGTCCCTGTGGCTCCCGTGGCTGGATTGCAACGTGTGGGATTGCAAAACTGCTTGGCACAGTGGTATTCCCACAGGACATGCCTTCCTTGGGGGACCACAAGGGTGCCTGGGGTGGATTGAGGGGCACATGCGTGTGCCGGCTGGGCTCGGGGATGGCAGCCCCTCAGTGCCAGTCAGGCTTGTCCCCAGCGGTGTGTTCCTGTTTCAGGCCTTCTCAGCCCCTCCTCGACCGCTCCATCCCCGACTTCACTGCCTTTACCTCAGTAGACGACTGGCTGAGTGCTGTGAAGATGAGCCAGTACCGGGACAGCTTCCTGACCGCTGGCTTCACCTCCCTGCAGCTGGTTGCCCAGATGACGTCCGAGTGAGTTGGGTGTCCGAAAGCTGGATGCTGCCTGGCTGGGGGTTGGGAGAGGTGGGAAGGTCAGTTCAAGGCAAAGGGTGGGTGTGAGCGCCCCTCACACTGGGCAGGACCACCCTGAGTTGGAGGTGGCCACATTCACCATCTGGGAGTCAATGTGTGGGTGTGTCCCTGCTCTCAGTCCCAGTGATGCTCACAGGGCTGCGTTTGGGCTCTTTGGCTGTTCCAGCTGAGCTTGCATCCCTCTCCTCATTTAGGGACAGCAAAACACCACCCTCAGCTGCCCACTGATCTTCCTCTGCCTGTCTGTCTGTCTTCCAGAGACCTCCTGAGAATAGGGGTGACTTTGGCTGGGCACCAGAAGAAGATCCTGAACAGCGTCCAGTCCATGCGAGTACAGATGAGCCAGTCTCCGACCTCGATGGCATGACGTCCCTTGTTTGACGGGGAGGGGCGGGGAGGGCACGCAGAGGAGGGGCAGAGGTGGGAGGGGAGGAACTGGCAGGTGCCAATGGGGCAGTGTTTGGGAAGGAGCCGCCGCTGCCTGAGGACTGTGACCGCAGACGAAGGATGTTCCTGGGACTCGTCTCTAACTGGTGACTTCCGTTCCTCACCAACAGAAGCACACTTAGCAATGTCATGGGGAACAGCGTATAAATACATATAAATATGTACAAATCATATATTTAAAAAGCAAAGCAAAACAAAAAAACCCATAAAAAACGATGAAGACAAACCAATGTGCGTTGGGGAAGCAAACCCAAACCCTAGAGACCAGACTCCAATCCCACCACCAGTGAGCAGTGGTTGAAACTGAGAAGGAGGAAGGGGCTGTTGGGGAAGGGAGAGGCATGAGATGGAGCATCCTGTCCGGAGAAACCAGCTTCCTTTTTCTTTTTTCACCCTCCCTCCCTGCCCCAGCCCTCCTGGCTTGCCCCGCTCCCCTCTCTGCTCATGAACTGGGTGGAAGTGTCCTCAGACGTCTCCGCAGCTCCCTGACATCCTACCCGGGTGCCACTCCGGCAACTACCAAAGGACTTCGCTGACCACTGCATGGGGGATCCGACTCAATCCAGTTAATGTCTTCATATTGAAGAAGAGATGTACCTTCAATAGAAAACCTCGGGTTTTGGTTTTTTTCTTTCGTTCATTTTTTGTTTGTTTTTTTTTTTTTTTTTCCTCTCTTTCGCTTGCATTTTTTTTTTGCCAAAGGAAAAAAAAAAAAAAACCAAAAAATGATTAAAAAAAAAAAAAAAGGAATCTCCATCCTGGAAAACGGAAAGAGGTGTTCCCGTGTGTGTGTGTGCGCGCTCGTGCGCCCGTGTATGTTGTCGACCTACCGTGGACTCACTGCTTGTCCGTCGCCGGCGGTCACCGCTGACCCTGCGGCCAGCGGCCGGCCGGGCCCCAGCCCGGGGGGCCAGGGGTTGTGCCCACAGCCCCCGGGGGCGGGAGGCAGCCGGGAAGCACCCGGCAACAAAGGAAGTGCTCAGCATCCTGGAAGCGGGGAGGAGGACGCCAAGGGCCCGCGCGGTGGGGATGGGACCGGAGGAGCCGCCGCGTGGCTGTGACTGGCTTGGTGGCTGCTGGAGAAGGAGGAGAGATGCTCTGGGAAATGGACTGCTCAGGCCTCCAGAGCCTCGGCGAAGATGGCTATGGAGGACTTTTTTCCCCCATCTTGCAGACCTAAGGATTTTGATATTGATTTATGGACTTAGGTTTCATGGCTTCAGAGGTAGGTCCGTTTGTCTTGTGTGCCTCTCTGTCCGTCCATCTCTGTATTTTTCTGCTCTTGCTTCCTTGCAGCCTCTCACAGTGGATGTTTCCCAGTGTTAAATTTGATCTTTATTCTTTTTTTTTGTTGTTTTTTTTTGTTCCTCCATTGGTCTCCTTTGCAAATTGATCCGGTTAAAATCACCAGGCGCGTGTCAGTGTTTACCCAGAATATTGTAAGACTGGGCAATCTGACTTCCCTCCGCGGATCGCGCCGGGAGTTTATAAAACAAATGAGCTCTTAATAAGGCTTTTACTTAGAGGGTTGTGTGCAAGTTGTAATGATCCATCACCGCGCTGTGCCGGCGCTGTGCCAGCAGCCAGCGGTGTGGTGAGGGAGTGGTGGTGTGGGGTGGCTGCCTGGCCCTGCCTCCGGGGCTGTGGATGCCGGAAGGGATTTGGCGGTGTGGTGTGTGGAGACCCTCTGTCCTCCTCAGTCAACCTCTGTCCTCATCGCTCATCCATCCCCACTGTTCGCACTGTGGGGATGACCTGCACCCATCCCTGTTGCAGGGATATTCCACTTCCTCCTGTGTCATGGGGAATGCTTTATGTCTGTGTCACGACCATGCCCACACCTCTCCGTGCCGTAGCGATGCCCTGTGTCCATCAGTGCCATGAGGATGACTCACATCCACCTGTGCTGTGGGTTTTCCCCATGTCTGTCCTTGCCATGGGGCTGCCCCATATCCATCCACGCCATGGGATTGCTCCATGCCCATGTGCCCTGTCGTATTCCTGACATCTGACCTCACCAGATTTCTTGCTGCTGCCAAACACAAAGGGACGAGCCCTTTCCTCTGGCTGCTGCTATCCCTGTCCACGTGTCCTGGGTGGGATCACTGCCCCCTGTGCTGGGGCTGTTGGGGTTTCCTGTGGCTGGGGGGACCCCCATGTATCCTGTGGGGAGCACGTGCTTGGTTCATGATGGTTTGTGAGGAGCACGTTCATTGGCTCGTGCTGATGGTTCATCACCTGGGGGTGGGGTGCTCTTTACCTCCGGGACTATTTCTTTCATCGCCCAAGGAAGATGACCCGCGCTCCGCCGAAGAACAGGAACTAACGAGAGGCAGGAATGAGCTTGTTTCAAATCACTGAACTCCCCCCAGAGAAAGAGGCAGAGAAAAACACCCCTTGTTTACAACAGCAGGGACTGTTCCTCGTCCTGTCTGATAGACGATCCCTAATACCTCTCGGGATGCTCGTGGCCCAAATCTGTATTCCAGGATGTTGTCACACGGAATACAACATGCAGATGGAGCGGGTGCCGTGCATGCTAATGCGCCACCGCGCCACATTGATATTCACTGGTGGTGAAGGGTCCTTTGTGGGTTTTTTTATGATTTCTCTTTTATTAGAAGGAAGCTAAAGGCATTTAAAGGAACGAATGACAGCCGCACAGGCTAAATATCAATACTCCACCTTTATGACTCCCCTGTGGTGTTGCCCGGCTGCGCAAGCACCTGCGAGGCAGCGGGTCCTGCTGCCCTGCTCAGGGTCCTCTCTGTGACACCACTGCCCCTTTTTCACCCTTTCTAACCCTTTCTTAATATAAAACCTTTAATACAGAATCATTAGGTTTAGAATAGATTGATCAACTTTTGACCGATCCCTGCCTTGTCAGCCCGACCAGAGCGCTGAGTGCAATGTCCAATCTGTCCTTAAACACCTCCAAGGATGGGGACTCCACCACCTCACTTGGCAGCCCCTTCTATTATTTAACCACTCCTTCAGTGAAGAAATTCTTCCTGTTGTCGAGCCTGAACCTCCCCTGGGGCATCTTGAGGCCATTTCATCTTGAATATGAAATATGAAGTGTTCAGTCCTGCCCATCCCACCCAGCAGACTGGGTACTCGTGAGTGGATAAACAGGCTGTCCAGGTGCTTGGATGCTTTTGGAGATACCGAGTCCTGCTTTACATCCTGGTTTGATTTCCCAGGGTGGATGGTGCTCCTTGGCCCGCCCATGCTGCCAAGCCCCCCTGACAGATGGCCGCAGCGGTGCCCCTGGGCATTGCCAGGACTGGTGGTCTCTCTCCCAGCTGTCTGATGGCTCCTGGGCTGTGTTGTAGCAGATGATTCCCATATCCCACCTCTCCTAATGGGTTGTTCCTACAAAGGTGGCATCTTGGCCTTGTACCAGGTCCACTCAGCCCGGGGGCCTGGAGATGTCCCCTCCAGGGTCACAGGAGAGCCCAGCAGCAGATGGATGGTGCCTAGGGCTGAGCAGGGAGGATGCAGGTGGCTCAAACAAATCCCTGCAGAAATGAGGCATCGTGGGCCAAGGGGGTTGCTGTCAAGAGAACACTTGAGGGAGGGTCACCATGGGCCACCTGCTCTGCTGCCTTTCTATAAAAGCCTTTTCATCCAAAATGGAAGATTTCACCAAAGGCCGTCAGGCTGTTAATGAAAAACAAGGGGAAAAAGGCAAAGCAGCCATGTTTGATTTTTGCTCTTTATTGAAAAAAAGTAACATAAAAACATCAGATGACTTCTGATGTACCATTTTGTTTCTTCAGAGACCTTTCTTCCAAGTACAATCAGTTTTCCAAACTGTGAAGCCTTTCCGTCTGGGACTGACAGTGTTATCCCTGCCTGGCCATGACAGCAGAGTTGTGTTTGGACTGCTCCTCCTTTTCCTTCATCAGATGCCAAGGTGGCACCTCTTTGATGGTGCCCTGTAGCTCCTCCCTGGGCAAGAGCCTCTTCCCTGGCCTAAAAATGAACACTCCCATTTCACATCTGATCCATGCTGGTTGGTGTTGGACTTCCTTTCCTTGATCCCAAAGGAGAAGGGGTGACTCAAAAATTATTTTTTCCTCTGCAAAGTTTTGTCTTAGAAGGAAGAAAAAGGCATTTTGGGATCAAAGAGGACCAACTCCACAGGCCTGTCATCCGGGCTGGGCTCCATCCATCCCACAGGGTCCTGGTGGGTTCAGCTGCCACGTGCTAGTGCTGGGAGGTGCCCACTGCTGGGGGAACCCCCCAGGGTGGATCCTGACCCCCCATAACTGCTCGTAGGTGGAGCTTTGATGCCTCACTCCCGTGGCTGTTTCCCAGCTCGGAGCAGCAGCACACGGATGCAGCTCCTTGCCTGGGTGAGCCCACCTCACCCTCGCCCCGATCCCGTCCTTTCACTGAGACACTTTGCAGTTGTCAGCTCCTTCTCTCCATTTCTATGGCAACTGTAAAAACCTCAACCCTTTTGTGTCTTTTTTATTTTTATGTTTTTTTTTTTTTTGTGTCTGGGTTGGCTTTGTCTTTTTTGCATGGAGCGTTAAATCAGAAAACCGAGACTTTTTGCTACCAAAACCCTGCTCTGAGCTTGGCCTAAAGTCTTGTATGAGAATCAGTGGGCAAGATGCTCATGTCTGGAGTGAGTGTTGCCAATTGGTTTCACGTTGCCTCTTCCCTCCACCAGCCCCACTGTTGCTCCTGTCACCCCTCAAAAAATCCCCTTTGGCAATTCAGCTGTGTGGTTGTCCCTGGGGCTTTTTCATGTCTTTTGTACAGCCCCATCCTTGGGTGTGGTGGAGGAGGCAGCAGCTTTCTCAACAGCAGTAATTAAAAGGAGACGTCGTGCTGCTGCCAGCAAAGGTGGACCCAAGGCTCTCGCACATCCAAGGCAGGAGCGAGCGTTTGAACGGGGAAGAGGAGTGTGTATTCATGGTGTTATTATGTGCCTCTTTCTATAAAAAAAAAGGAATGCATTTTATGCCATTTAATGACCTTCAAATTAACAGTTCTTTGAAAGCACTTATGTATATTTAATTTTAAATGTTGCTGCAAGTCAGAGCGGGGCTGCGATGAAAACAGCAGGCGGCCGGTTTTTAAATAAGAGCGATCTCAGACCATTATTTCTGAGCCTGTCAGCTTGTGGTGCCTCTAATGCTCCTTTCCCAAGGAGGAATGAGGGCTGTCCTTCTCTCTGTCCCTCTGTCCCTTCTCCCCCATCTCTGCTCCAGGAGCTCCCCACCTGCCATCCCGAGCCCCATGGGATCTCCTCTTCTGCTTTCCGCTTCTCCAGGGTGTTTGATTCAGAGGGAGGGAAGGGTTGGTTTGGGGTTGGTTTGCAGAGATCTCATCAATGAATCTACCTGCATCCTGAGGACATCCCTGTGGGAGCCAGGGGAACATCCCAGCTGGCCCATGGCCTGGGATAAATCATTGGGCATCACCTATGAAGGGTTTTTTCTCTGCCACCAACCCTTGCTGTTGTTCTGTGATGGGGACAGACACGTTTCTGTTCTTTAGGATCTGAACTAAGGCTTTTGCCTCTGATCCATAAAAACTGCCAATATATTCGAGCCACTCTGTGTTCACTTGGAAATCGTTACTCTTAAACATTGAATCTGACTTTAAAAAGAAAAAGGATCAATCAGCTTCTGAGACGAGGAATGGATTTACAGACCCCAAAACGCTCTGTAGCTCCAAAGCCACTCGTCCTCCTTGAACTGCCGATGGAAAAGCGGGTGGTGGGGGCCAGGGCTCACATCCAGCTCTGGCACTCAGCCAGGTGCTGCATGTCCCCTGCTCCCATAAAGTCCCCCCTGCACAAGGAGCTGCAAGGGGGATTTAACAGTCGTATCATTATCTGCTCCTCTTCCATGAAGGATCCTGCCAGGGTGGGTGCTGGTCTAATTACAGCTTGGGCTGGCCATTTCCAGTGAGTCTTCTTGCAATTTTGGAAGAGCTAGAAACTTTCTGAGCAGTGATGGAGGAGAGGCAAAGTCCACACCAATGGATTCCCGCGGTGAATGGTTTCACCCCATCAGTGGTTTCTCCACACTGTTCCTGTTCCAGCTTATATCTTTAATATTTTTTGTGGGTTGGAAAGGTCCTTTGGGATCATCTGGTCCAACCCTTCTGCCATGTAGGAATGGCTGTGTCTTTCCCAGCTGAGCTCAACCTCCTCCAAGCCCCATCTCTGGGAGGTGTGAGAGTGTCAGTTTGCGCTCTCCCATTTTTGATGTCCTCAGGGTTTGGTTTTGTGTCTGTGTCTCACGGGAGATCTGCTGGCTCCTGTCCATCACTGGACCCTGATGGGCTGTGTTCCCATACCAGAGCTTGGTGTGGAAAGAGGAGCTTTCCAGTCAGGAGAGGGTCTCCTCTGCTTTATGTAGCCTGAAGAGGTGTGAGATGGGAACCATGAGCATCCATGGCATTAAATCTGGTCTCTTGCTTCACCTCAGAGCAGCAGATGAGTGCTGGAGAGGGGATTGCACCTGCCTGTGGTGACCATGGCGCCCTTCACCTGGGCCTCTCAGGGTTGTCAGGGCTGCTGGCACTTGGGTTGGTGTTCCAGGGCCTTCTATTTTGGCTGGCTGTCCTCCGTGGAGCAGCACTGTGATTATCCCTCCAGCCTGAGCTGCCCCTCTCTCCCTCCCTGTCTGTCTGTGTCCAAGTATCTCTGCTGCTTCTGCTCTGCTTCCTCTGGTCATTGGAATTTAAAAGGCTGTGAAGCCCCTGGCTGTCCTACCCTGCTGTGTGGCTCTGCTGTAGTGGCTGGTTTTGGGGTCCCAGCAGGCCCCAGCACATGGACATTGTAGGTGACGTGACCATGGATGGGGTGGCCCTGCCAGTGGCACAGGTGGGATGGTGTTGAGGTCTCCTGGCCCGTCTCTGGAGGGAAATGCTGGAGGAGGTTAATCTGAACAAACCAGGCGTGTGTTTTAAGTGGATTAGTTGAACTCTGCTCCCTCCCAAAACAGACAGTGCCCTTTCGGGGTGGATGTGGAAGTGGATTAGGCAAAAATCTACTTAGCGCTGTGTTAATTCTAGATAAGTGTAGGGGGATTAACGCCTACCCACTTAAAAAAATTAATTGGAGTGAACTTTTCTCTGTGCCCCCAAGTAAACAAGGCTCAGCAGCTTCCCCTGTCCACAGCTTGGGCTGTGCCTTTCCCTTCTCTGCTCTCCCATCCCCACACGTGGTGCAGGAGCTGCTGGTGGGGGGAACCTGCTCCTCTCTTTGATTATCCCCAGGGGTCTCATTAGGCGGTTGAACCCTTATGTGAGGGTAGGGGAGAGAGGGCAGGAAAATTATGGTCCCCATCAGTGCAATTATCAATGCTAATTAACACCTGAGCGGGACTGAGGGTGGGAGGAACAGCCTGTGCCAAGTGTTGTCTGAGGAGCTGAGAGAGCCTCGAGCCTTGAGAGGGCTTCCATGGACAGGGGGGTGTGGAACATGCTCACATTGGTTGGTTTGGTTTCTCCCCCCAGTGCTTTGGGTGTACCCTTCACATTCCCCAGCCTAAATATTTGGGAAGGTGTCCACGGCCAGAGGCTGCCGTGGGCAGGGACTCAGGTCTGGTCTTTTGTCTGGGGTTAGTGCCTGGGTGGCAGTGCCATGTCACAAACCCAATGGTGCCCAGATGAGGAGGGGGCTCTGGGAGGGAGGGAAAGGGCAGTGAGATGTGACTCCCCTTTACAGGGGGGTTGGATAGGGAGAGCACCCTGAGGCTGGCACCTACCTGCATCCCAACCACTGCCCGCATCCCAACCACTGCCCACATCCCAGCCCACATCCCAACCACTGCCCGCATCCCAACCACTGCCCACATCCCAACCACTGCCCGCATCCCAGCCACTGCCTGCATTCCAACCACTGCCTGCATCCCAACCACTGCCCACATCCCAACCACTGCCCGCATCCCAACCACTGCCCACATCCCAACCACTGCCTGCATCCCAACCACTGCCCGCATCCCAACCACTGCCCACATCCCAACCACTGCCTGCATCCCAACCACTGCCCGCATCCCAAACACTGCCCACATCCCAACCACTGCCCGCATCCCAAACACTGCCCACATCCCAAACACTGCCCACATCCCAACCACTGCCTGCATCCCAACCACTGCCCGCATCCCAACCACTGCCCACATCCCAAACACTGCCCACATCCCAAACACTGCCCACATCCCAGCCCACATTCCAACCACTGCCCACATCCCAACCAATGCCCTCATCCCAACCACTGCCCTCATCCCAACCACTGCCCGCATCCCAAACACTGCCCACATCCCAACCACTGCCCGCATCCCAAACACTGCCCACATCCCAACCACTGCCTGCATCCCAAACACTGCCCACATCCCAAACACTGCCCACATCCCAGCCCACATTCCAACCACTGCCCACATCCCAACCATTGCCCGCATCCCAACCACTGCCCACATCCCAGCCCACATCCCAATCACTGCCCACATCCCAACCACGCTGCTCACTGCCCTGTGGCCACGCTGGGGGCCGATAACGCCTTCCCCCATGGAACATCCTCTCCCATGGAACACCTTCCCCCATGGAACGCCTTCCCCCATGGAACGCCTTCTCCTCCCACAAACGTGGCCCTTTTATTGCTGTTTGTGTCACGCCAACACTTCCAGGCTGAGATCAAAGCCCTCCACGCCGCCTCGCAGGGGTTCCCACGCTGGAGCTCAGGGAGGAGGAGGAGAAGGTGTGATGAGGGGGTGATTCAGTACCCGGGGGATGTGCTGTGCTGTCCCCTCCCCATCCTCCTCCAGCTGTTCGTGACCTGTCCTTTGGGATCCATCCTTTGGAATCGGCCCAAATCCTCTGTAGCTGCCCCCGGACCGTTTTTGCCAGGACGAAGGGCAGGGCTGCAGCTGGTGCGGGAGAGCTGAGCCGACAGCTGCCACCCCGGCAGCGTGCGGGTTCCCCAGGGAAAATAAACCCCCAAACCCTTCCCGGCCCCACTGCTGCCGGGCGGGTCGGGCGGCGGCGGCTGAAGGAGCTGGGAAAGGCCGTGGGGGAAAGTGGAGGTGGAGCCGGGAGCAGTGCCCGGGGCTGCAACCATCGCTCATCACCAGCTTTAATGTGGCCGAACCCGCAGCCGATACAAATCCTGTCACCACCCGGACTTGGGCACCCACCTCGGTTTATACCCATCCCCAGGACCCGCCCGGTTCAGCATCATTCATTAATTATATTTCTGTTACTGCTTTTTTCCAGCTGTTTTGCTGTTCTGTTCCCAGTTACATTAAGGGGAATTGTGACACCAAACCTCCAAGCACGGCACCAAAAATGGACCCTTGTGCCTAAGAAATACCACTCAGCAATATCTTTTCCCCCAGCTGAAAGTTCTTTTTTCTAAAGATAATCTCAATTTCCCTTCTCTTTTCTCTGCCCCTTTTTCCACCAAGCACTGCATTACTAAATAAAACTTTCATTACTACCTGGGTTTGCTGAAGAAAAAAATTATTTCCATTCAGGAGAACGATGAATTTTAATAGGAGTGAAATGTCAGGCACAGCTGGAGTGGGTTTCTGAAAGCATCGGTATGTTTGGAGAGGCACAGGGACCCCAGCAATAATTAGCCAGTGAGCCCCAGCTTTCGGTGGCCCAGCAAAGGGACCCAGCAGTCAATTGCTTTGTTATTTAATGTGCTGCCTTTATGTTTCCAAGGTGCAATTGTATATTAAAAGTGTCTTTGCCTCTCCAAAGTGGCTAAATAATGGAATTTTGCTGCTGGGCGGCACTTCTTGGTTGCAGGGTGAGGAGAAGGTGCCCCTGGGGCTGCTCCTCTGGTTCCGAGACATTCTGGCTTCCCCCCAGGAGTGGAGAAGATGGGGATTTTTTGTTACATTGGAAAATGACTCATGGTGCTTTGTGATTTGCTCCTGTGTTCGACCCCGGGGTGCTCATCTTGCAGTGGGAGGTGGGGAAAAGGCAACTTGGCTGCTGGGGCACGTGGAAACTCTCCCGCCCCCAAAATTGCATCTCAGCCTCCGCTCCCCGAAGCATCTCGGCTTCACAAAGAAATCCGTCTCCTCCGTTCCTTTCCTTTCCCCCCTGAGGAGAAATAGAGAGCTTTCAGTGAAATCATCATTTTTCTGACAGCATATTAATTAATCCCTGCTTTTAGTGGTTCCCCCCCCCCTTTTTTTTTTTTTTGAGAGGCTGTATCTGCTGCAAGAAGCCTTTGGGTTTCACTGGGCGCAGTCCCCGCCGGCTGTGGGACGGGGTGGGGGCTCGGTGGTGAAGGATGTACCGAGTCTTGAGCACTGGGTGTGCTTATTCTCACCTTTTTCTCCTTTCCCTCTTGCCTTGCAGGGGCATCGAGTCCAGCATTGCAGCGGGGCAGCAGCGCCAGGAGGGGGTCCCCAGGGACCGCTCCCCCACCACCCACCAGACGATGCTCCGGGAGGTCCCCGCAGCGCCCCGGGCCCCCGTCCCCCCCTTCCCTGTCCTGTACATAACCAGTGAGATGTCTGTAAAAGATTTCAACCCTTGGAATTTTTTTTGCCCTCCCTCCCCACCTCCCAGCCCGCCTCCCCCCCCCTTCCTTCCCCAATTTGTTGATTGTGTTGAAATTGTCGGAGTTTGTAACAGTAACTTTCAGAGAATATTGTACTAAAGAGAAAATTGCACTCAATAAAAATGATGAAAGAAGCCTGGTCCCTCTCCTTTCCCGTCCCAGGGGCAGCCTTTCCGCTGACGGCTTCTCCTCAGCTCGGAGCTGGGGGAATATTTGCCATGAATATTCATTTGGGGAGCTGGCAGCGCTCCATCACTCCTTGACTTACCTCGAATGTTGATGTCTATCAGATCCGGCTCCCCGGTTTGTAAATGAAGTGACTTTATTCTCGGCGATCCCTATCGGAGGTTGCTTGCTGCAAAAGAGCCAGGAGAAGGAGTTTTCTTGGCACAGGTTTTCCCGAGGAGCGCATTTCAAAGCCCTCGTGTGCGATCGCTCGGGGAGGCCGCGCTGGAAGCGCTGGCTGGGATGAAAGCACCGCCCATGCTGGCTGAGCACGGCGGCTCCTCGCTTCCCGAGTCCTGCTGGAGCCTGTCCACGAAAGGCTGATGCTCATCTTGAACCTGCTTTCCCTAAGGATTACTGTACATCGTGGCAGGAAAATGAATTCTTCCTTTTTCACTGGCTGCTCTTGGGCATTGTGTCCTGCTGGGATCACACAACCCATCCAGCTCTCTCAGACACAGGGTGGGATTGTTGGGATGTCCTGTGCAGGGCCAGGAGTTGAACTTCATGATCCTTGTGGGTCACTTCCAACTCAGGATATTCTATGATTCTGTGATCCATTCTATCCTCAGTCCCTGAGGGCAGCTGATCCTGCTGGCACTGGGAACATCCTCCAGCCGGCAACGAGGGCTGAAACAGGGGATGGAAGTTTTGTAAATGGACAGATTTGGAAATACGCAGCCACCATTGACATATTTGGGGGTCTGAAAAAGGAGCTGCTACTGGAGGAGCTTTGGAGGTGTGGGATACAGGCTTCCCACGCCCCATGGCTTTGGGGTGATCTGGTGGGGAGGGAGGTGAGTGCTGGTTCAGCTGGAGGTGGAGCTGGCACATCCCCACGGTCCCTGGCATCCTGTAAATCTCCCATCAGTGCTGGTGTTGATCTGGGGGGGTGTTACCATCTTCAGGTCCTTGCTGCTTCTCCAGGGTCATTATAGCTGGGATTTTTTTTTGTTTATAGGGTTTTTTGACTGAGTTCCACGTGCTGGTGGCTCCAGGTCCCTGGGGCAGGACTCCACCGCCCTGGGCTCGCACACCACAGTGAAGTTTGCCTCACACTTGTACACAGGGGGAGGACTGGTTTTTTGGGTGTTTTGGGTGGTTTTTGCTAAGCCTATCCTGACAAATGAAAGCAGATCATCTCTGCCATAATATCCAGTCTCCTGGCAGGACTTTGGACACACAAGATGCAAATAGGCAGCAGCTGATGGAGGGCAGAGCAAAGTTGTTTGTGTGTCCTTAATTGAGTAGACACTTGATTTAATGGGCTACTGGTGTGGTTTAAATGAGTGTTCATGTTTCTTGAATCCTCTGGGATTTGGGGCCCTGAGAGGGTATATCCTTTACACAGGTCGCTCCGAGGTTTTCCCATTAAGTAACCAAAAGACATTTACAGCCAGTGCTTAACATTCCCCAAGTAACTTGCTTGGGAATAGCTTTTTAACGGAGTCTGGAGGAGCCCTGCTGACAGTTTGATGGTTAACGGGGCTCTGAAGGAGGGTCTGGAGCCCCTCAGCAGAGCCTGGATGTGTCTGGCCAGTCCCTGTTGGACCCTCACCTCCCTGACATTGGTTTATACAGCTGCAGCCTCTGGCCCCTGTGTTTTATTCCCCCCACGAGCCAACCAGTCACCAGCTTCACTTGCATCCCAGCTGGAACGAGATGTCATTTACTGAGGCCACACAGCATCCAAAAAAACTTTCCCTGAGCTTTGAATATAGACACAGGTGGCTGTCACAGCCAGAACAGAGACCAACCCTCAGGATAAAAAATCTTTCCTTCATGGCTCTCAGGTTTGAAAAATGGAAGCAGCGTGTTGGCTCCAATTACCCCTCAGCAGCTCCCAGAAATCTGGATGTACCCGGTTCTCCGGCACACCAGCGTGATGCCGGACTAACTCCGGCACTGGTGGTGGAGTAAATCCTTATTTGCCTCACTGCAAGGAGAAAACTGAACTGGGACTGGGCTTGATATGGGATAGGAGGAGGAGGGTTCCCTGGGAGGCACGATGCTCCATGGGTGCAGTGTGCCCTGGAGGATTCACACATGGGGCCTGGTGGGAGACACTCTCATTCCCTTGATGTTCCCATCCCATGCCACAGGCCTGAGGACAGCCCTTCCCAGGGGAAGAAAGCAGCTGGGAATGTATTGGCTGCACAGAGACCTGGGGGCAGTGAAGGAGGGGGAGGTTGGAGACACACACATCCCTGTCCTCTCCCACCTCCCCTCCCTCCCACACTCAGCAGTGAAAGACAAATAAAAGATGAGCCCAAGAGGACTATTGGCTAAATTGTAATTGGAGCAATATGGTCTGATGATAAAGTTTCGTGCCAGCCCACATTAACTGGCAGCAGCTGCTGGAATTATTGGAGATGCCTCATCGCCTATCCAAAGGGCCGGGATTTCCTGGAGGACAAGCCAGGCAGGCTGCAGCGGTGCTGGAGCCAGGAGGGCTCGGATGGAGCAGGGCTGAGGCTGCTGCAGTGTTGAAATCTCCAGGCCGTGTGGGAGAGGTTTTTGGGGATGCTCACGAGAAAGTCACCTCCTGTTGCCAGCCAGATGTCTCAGTTCTGTTTATCTGGTCACACACTCATGCATAGCCTGCACCTCCCTGCACCCCGGGGGGATCAGGACAGGGCAGGATTTACTCCACACAGTTTGCTTTTAGCTGCATTTCAGGCACTGCCTTGATTAAACCTGCACAGCTGCCCCCCCTCACTGCCCCAAAGCCACCGCCAGTGCCGAGGGGGGGATTCTGCCCCTCTGCCCTGCTCAGGTGAGACCCCACCTGCAGAGCTGCCTCCAGTTCTGGGGTCCGCAGCACAGGAAGGACATGGAGCTGTTGGAGTGAATCCAGAGGAGGTCACAGAGAGGCTCCAAGGGCTGGAGCCCCTCTGCTCTGGAGCCAGGCTGGGAAAGCTGGGAGTGTTCACCTGGAGAGGAGAAGGCTCAGGGAGACCTCTTAGTTCCTTACAGACACTAATGAATTTATTTCCCCGAGCTGTTATGAGGAGATGGGGTATTATATCTTTTTTTATACACAGTAAGCTTGGGAACCTCAAAGCCTGCTGGCCCCCTGGGAGGCTGGGAATGCTGCTTTTCCACACACTGGCTGTGTTGAGCACCCAGCAGTGGCGGTGAGCATCAGACAGCTCCAGGTGTCCCAGCAAGGAGGGTGGATGATGTCCACTCCAGAGCTGGTGGTCTCCACTCATCCTTCATCCCAGCAACTCCATCCCCCCGGGGAACCCACCTTCCCTCCTGGATTCAGTATCCATTTGGTCTCTTGGCTCTGTGAACACGTGGATCCAATGTCGTGGGTGGTGACTCCTCCTCAGGACTGTGGTGTGGGTACTCTGAGAAGCCCATCTGCCTCAGTGCTGAGGAAGAGGGTGCAGCTTTGCACGCCAACCAGGTCCCCAGATTTGTGTCCAGCTGGAGATGGTGCTGGAAGGTGGTTCTTAAAACAGCTCCAGTGTAACCAAACCACCTCAGCAGCTTCACCCACTGGGGTGGGTGGGATTTTCCCCCAGGACAACTCAGAGGAGGTTTAGGTTGGACATCAGGAAAAGGTTCTTCCCCCAGAGGGTGGTTGGGCACTAAACAGGCTCCCCAGGGAATGGTCACAGCTCCAAGGCTTGCAGAGCTCCAGGAGTGTTTGGACAATGCTCTCAGTGACAGGGTGGGATTATTGGTGTGTCTGTGCAGGGCCAGGAGTTTGGATGATCCTTGTGGGTCCCTTCCAACTCAGGACATTCTGTAATCCCACGGTTCTAAGTCAGATAGAAGCCTGCTGGATTGTTTGTCTGGGGCCTGCTGTTCCCAACAGGAAAGTCACGTATCTCCGTAGCTGTAAACGTGTCCCTGGGATTCCTGTGGGCACCTCGGAAACTTCCAGAGTGCAGGAGCATCCCACCCTTGCCTGTTCCTCTTTCCCATTTGCTGCTGCAGACATTCCTGACATCTCCCCATAAAATGCAAGCAAACATCCTCCTCCTTTCCAAGGCCATTCCTAGTGGATCCTGTGCCCCAGGTGAGCTCACTGCCGGCTCCGTGGCTCACAGGGATGTTGTGCCAGCAGTTTCCCTGTGGTGCTTTGTCGCTCCACACCCTCCCCGTGTCAGCAGAGCTGCCTGTGAGACGCTGCTCTCGTTAGAGCAGACACAGGCACCGATAGCCCTGACAAGCAGCAATTACTGCGCTGACAAAATAAAAGTTTTGAGTTGTTTTGCAAATATTTTTGAAGCCCCGATACAGCGGCAGGAGTGGGCGTAATTACACATAAAAGTGTATCTCCTTTATAGTCTTTTAATTATCTACTCAGGTGAACCATAATTTGAGGGGAAATGCTTTAAATCTGTTCATTTCTAATAAGAAAAAATGAGGTGGGAGAATGTTATTTTAATGTAATTAGGAGAAGGCAGGGCTGGCTGGCTGGGTGAGGGAGCAGGGAGCTGCACTGTGCTCCGGGGACCTCGGGCTCTGCTCCCTCCCCTCTCACCACACCAGTCCTCTCTCCCTGCTGGACAGTACATCAACACCATGGTGGAAATAAGTGCCTGTTCACATGTGGTGGCAATACTCTTATGTCTTGTCATCAACCTTCCTGAGCCCAGCTTTGCCAGGACCTGCCCTGTAAAGCCTGGGATCATTGGGGGACCCCCCTGAGACTGGTCTGCTCTTGCAGATCACTCCAGCCACACCAGGAGAACCTCTGAAGGCCAGTGTGGGATTGAGGGTTGTCCAGTGGGAAGGGAATCGTGGCAACAGGAGGGACTTTGGGCTGGAAGGGACCTTAAGGCTCATCTTGTTCCACCCCTCTTTCCACTACACCAGGTTGCTCCAAGCCCCATCCAGACAATCTGGGCAGCTCGTGGGACTTGGCTCCTCTTGCTGGGGACCCGGGTCCCCACACCAGTGGTAGCAACTACGTTGCTCCAGGCTGAGTCCTGCATTAAAACTGGTTCCAAGACTTCCAAGCATTAGCTGACACACTAATTTCCTTTCTTCCACTTTCATTCCTGGACTGCTGTCAGCTGAGGCGCCTTTTAAAATAGTTATTTCCATCCAGTCTGCGGCTTTCCAAGAGAAGAACGAGTGTTGAACTTTATTTTTCTTATAATGACTCCTCAGAGTCCCAGATAAGATCAAACCCTGGCTCCTTTGGGCTCTGTGCTCCACACATGTGGTACATCTCCTGCAGAACCTGCAAGAACAGATGATCCATCTTCTGGGGTGGAAAGCTAAAGCATGGGGGGATCAGGTGACTTTTCCAGGAGTCTGCAGGCAGCCTGTCCCAGGGATGCTGCAGGTGCTCGTGTAAGACACTTGGCTGTCTGTGTTTGCTTCTCCCAAGGATCTTCCCAGCTAGAGAAGAGGGAAAACCAGGCTGTTTTCATGGTGGTCTTGCTTTCCCAGGAAGCCAACAGCCCTCTCTGCCTGTCTGTGCCGCTCCTGTTATCGTGAATGTCAAGCACTTTGCAAAACAGAGGCATTAAATGTCAGATCCTGTCCCTTACAAGCCCTGCTTGTAATTTGAATGCTCAGACATGCTCCGTGGTCACCTCAATCCCATTTCCTTCCTCTGATAACAGCATCCCTGGTACCACTGCGCTGGGAGGTGAGGTCACAAAGCAGGGCTCTTTACACCGCTCTGGACCTTCATCCCGACGACTTCACCCTCCCTCCCTGATAGTCAGAAATACTCAGGATCAGATTTCCACCTGCCCCCCCTGCTTTAGGGATGGTACAGGCATTTTGGGTGGTGTTTGGATCCCAGTGACTCTGGTATCTCTGCTGGACCCTTTAACCATCAGAGCCAAGCATCCCTTGCAGCTGTGTCCAGGTGAGGGCTCTTCCCCTTAAAAGCTCCTGGCTCCAGCTGAGGCAGAGCTGCTCCAGGATTTCTTGTGTGGATTTGCCCTTGCTTTCCTCTTGGGTAAGTGAGATGAAGCATGAAGTTTGACAAGGCCAAGTTCAAGGTCCTGTGCCTGGGTCAGGGCAACCCCAGGCACAAATACAGGCTGGGTGGAGAAGGGATGGAGAGCAGCCCTGAGGAGAGGGGTTTGGAAGTGGAGAAGAGGGAGAGGCTTCAAACTGACAGAGGTAGGATTAGATTGGATATTAAGAAGAAATTGTTCCCTGTGAGGATGGGGAGGCCCTGGCAGAGGTTGCCCAGAGAAGCTGTGGCTGCCCCTGGATCCCTGGAAGTGTCCAAGGCCAGGTTGGACGGGGCTTGGAGCAACCTGGGCTAGTGGAAGGTGTCCCTGCCCATGGCAGGGGTGGGACTGGATGGGCTTTAAGGTCCCTTCTAACCCAAACCATTCTATGATCTCTCCCATCTCATGCTGCAAGCTATCTTGTGGCTTCTCTCCCTTCCTGCTTTTTTGTCAGTTCCCTGTTATTTGCTGTTATTTTGGATAACAGGGTAGCCCAGCAGTGACCGCCGTGTGTCCTTAGGGAGATGACGAGTTTCCTCCATTCCTGTATTACTGCTTTTCCCCTTGGTGTGCACCCAGGTACTGAGCTGGTGCCTTTCCCAGCCCTGGCAGTGGGAGCAGCCAGGGTGGCTGCCAGCTTTCTGGTTGTTTGTCCTTGATGGGAAAGCTTTCCCCATGGAACTGAGAACGTGCCAGCTGTGAGTGCACGGGTGACACCAAGTGCTCAGCTCTGTTCCATTTGGTGTCTCTGAGTTGGGGTTTCTCATTTGCACCGTGGCATTGACACAGTAAAATAATACATAAAGCACACACAATAAATTAAAGCAAATACTGCATGTGCCGGTGCCCAGAAATTTGGGACTTGCTGCAAGGCTAACAAGATGCATTTTAATAATTACAAATGAACCTGTGGCCAAGAGAGCCTTCACCGAGCACACCTGTAATGAATGCAGATGCTGCTGCTCCCTCAGAATGCAGATAATCACATTTGCCAGTGCATTAGAGCTGATTTAGGGGTAAACAATAGCTTCCATCTGAATTTGTTTTACAACCTATTTGCTATAGTGGGTACCTTTTTTCTATTATTTGAAATAATTGTAAATATTTTACCAGGCCTTCATGCTGCAGTTGTTTTTTGGGATTGTTCGTTTCGTGTTTGGTGGGTTTTTTAATGTTATTTATTATTTATTTACGGTGAATTGACAACAATTGTGTTCACCCTCCATCTAATCCAAGGAGCTCATGGTTGTTTCCTCCCCTCTCCATCCTTTGTCAGAATAATTGTTCTTCCCACAGTGCCTGCTGCATGGTTTGTAAGCTTATTTCAGGCTCAGCTGTGGGGATTAGTGATAACTCTGCCTATTGTACCAAGGTTCATATTATTTAAAACTGGAACTAGAACAAAGGCAATTCAATCCCAGCTCCTCTCTGCCTGGGATGCAACAGTATTTACTGACACTGTCCAGGAAATCCAAGGTATGAGCTGAGTCTCTGCCTGTCTGGAAGCTGGGAAAGGGAGATAAATCCAGCTGGGCAGGCTTCGTTCAGCCCCAGAGCTCGGGTAGGAGCAGGGAAGGGCTTTTCCTTGGGCTGCCCCTTCCCTGAGGGTTGTTATTAACTCCTCCTCAAGCACTGCCTGTGACCCAGAGATCTTCAAGTAGCTGGTGCAGCAGGGGTGGGATGTTGTGTTGCGGTGGAAATGCTCAGGTTTTATTTTCTTCCAGGTTAGCAGGGTCTTAAAGGCATCCCAATAGGCCCACACCAGCAGCTGAGTGAAGCTAGGGATGTTCCCAGCTCTGGTGATCAGCTGGCCTCTCACACACAGCCCTACTGCAGCTGGGCTTTGGTTAAGGAGCTTGAGTTAACAGCCCTTTCCCCTCTCTGCTTGATCAGTAATGCAGGACCAGGTCTCCAGCAGATAGCCCCCATCATACATATATATATATATATATATATATACACATATATACACATATATATGTGCTTTAAGCCAGAGTACTGCCAGGAATGTTCCCAAGAATGCCTTGGCACATGCAGAGCTGGTGTTCTTGGGCATCAAGTGTCTTTCAGGAAGCTTCTCCTGATTAGAGCAGGTGGCAGGACTGTGTGGTCACCCTTGCCCTCGTGGTGGGAAGGCTGAGAGGGCTGGAGTTCCCAGGCTGGCATGGCAGCAGTGCTGGCATCATTGGACCTCTCCCCTGGGATTCTGCAACCCTCTATCCCTGGCTATTCATGCCTTCACTCTTTAGATTTCACTTGGGGATTCAAGGCATGAAGGAAAGTGTTGCTGCCTCTCCTTCCATGGAGCTTCTACAGCCATTGAGGTTCATGGAATCAGGGAATATCCTGAGCTGGAAGGAACCCACAGGATCATCCAGTCTAACTCCTGGCATTGCACAGACACCCCAACAATCCCACCCTGTCCCTCAGAGTGTTGTCCAAACCCTCCTGGAGCTCTGGCAGCCTTGGGGCTGTGCCCACTGCCCTGGGGAGCCTGGTCAGTGCCCAACCACCCTCTGGGGGAAGAACCTTTCCCTGAGATCCAACCTGAGCCTGCCCTGACACAGCTCCAGCCATTCCCTGGTTGCTCTCCCTGGTGGAGGATTTTACTGTAATATTTTTGTCAGCAATGTTCAGCTCCCTGGTCAGCTCTCCCTCTACCCCATCCCTGACCCCAAAATCCCACACTTGGTACCCCCTGCATGGCGATGCTTCTTCAGGCTGGGAGGTGCTGGTGTGCCCTGCCCTGGCCACTGCTGGTCCATGACCTGCCCATCACCCTCGTGTCCTACCCCAGCCACAAAAGGAGCAGAGCGTGGGGTGTGTGTGTGTGCACGGGGGGCGGTGAGAAACCCCAGACACACAAAAGCTGGAGGAACCACCAGCAGCTGTAACCCTGGCAACTGTGTCTCAGGATTTGAATGTAATTATACCTCGAACGTGATAAACACTCCGAAGGACTCCTTATGTGGAGATCATACTAAACAAGTCTTTGAAATTACCCTCATCAAATATTGATAGAGGGAGAGTTTTGTTAAAAAAAAAATAAAAAAGGGGCAAAGGGAGAGAAAAGGCGAATTCTTGCTGCTGCCCACGGGCTGGGGGTTAATGAGGATCTGTTGGTTTATCACCACGGCGCAGGGCCCACCGAGGGCTCCGGCACACAGCGGAATTAAAAGCGGGGGCGGGAGGGTGAGGGAAATAAACCCATCAGGTGAGGCAGCTGTATCGATTGGCATTTTGTTTTATGTTTGGCATGCAGGAAAGCCATCCCAATAAACACCATTTATCTTGCCCAGCCCTGGCAGCCAGGGTTTAATTGCTTCAGAGGGGGAGTGGGCGGAGGAGAAGGGGCGTTTCTGAGGGTCCGTCAGGGTGCAGGGTTGTGGTGGGCAGCAGAGCACTGAGGATGGAGATCTCCTCCCACCTGTGGGTTTGGAGACTGTAGGCAGAATGTTCTCCATTGGGAGAGCAGGTTGAAGTCCCAGGTGGTTTCCAGCACCTGTGGAGCAGCAGTGGAAGAGCATCCCTGGAAGCTGTGGGGTTGGCTTAGCACGGGGATGCTCCAGCACTCAGTGCTCCTCACTGGTACTCATCTCCTGCCAGCACCCTCTGTCCCTGGAAGAAGCTGACCAGGGACCTTCCCTGGCTCTGGTGGGAAGGGAGGGAACTGGGCTACACTGCTGTATTTTCACCCTCTTCTTATGCCTGGGAGGTGTGAGAGATCTCCCACTTAATAACAACAGGATGAGTGGTGTTGGGACTGGCTGTTGTGCTCAGCAGGTGCCCTGTCAAATGCTTGGAGGAGCTTTGGTGAGCAGAGCAGCTTCTTGTCTCGAGTGATCTCCCAGCAACAAGTGGGGCTGGGAAGAAAATGGAGGAAGAAAATTCCAGTGTTGCCTGGAAAAAGGAGCAGCTAAAACTTCATCAGAGCAGAGGATCTGGAGATGTGGAGGAGGAGGAGAGGAGAGGGAGGCAGCTCTTCATTCTGGCTCTGCAGGCAATAAGTGTCGGGGAAAGAAGGCTGGAGAGGGCCAACTTTGTGAGTTGCTGGTTGTGAGGTATTTAGTGATTTTATGAGTTTGCTTTTAATGGGGAGAAGAGACAAAGAGCCGAGCACACGAGTGCCCTGGCTGCAGTTTTGGTTGTTGTGAGTGTTGGCTGATTGACCATAACTAACTCTCACCTGGACTGATGGAGACCTAGAAGGTCTGTTCTCCATGTGTGCTGGGGGAAGGGGGTGGTGGTACTGATGTCCTCTGATTCACCTGGCCAGGGGTTTTATCACTTTAAGTGTTTATAGAGACAATCTGAGCACCAGAAAAAAACAGCTGACATCTCCATGGGATCCACTGTGGGAGCAGTGGCCAGTGCTATGGCCAGGGGTGACTGGGAGTGCAGCCAGAGGACAAGCAGGATCCTTCAGGGTTTTAACATGAGTGATGGAGGCATGATGGAATTACCAGCTTGGTGTAGAGCCGTCCATCCCTGGTGGAAAACCTCCCTTTCCCCATCGAGCATCATTATTCCTGGCAGGCCTGCACTTAAAACCATCTCAGCACTCTCAGAAGGGACCTGGCAAACGTCTCCCGAGCAAACAGAAAACCACTTTTCAGCTCCAGCCACCCAGATCTGCAAAGTCAATCTGTTGCCAAGAGATGTGCCAGGACAGATGATGGCTTTGCAGCCTGTGACCGAACAAGAGTGGCACAGAGCTGCGGAGACCCACATGACGTGTCCCTTGGTCCATCCCCAGCTCTGTGCCAGGCAAACATGCTCTTTTTGCTGGGAGCAGCGGGCATGGCTGCGATGCACAAACACTGGAGCCCCATCAAGCACTGCCGGTGATTTTATGGGCTGCTTGGAAACAGTTGGAAACCTCCGTGATGCCAGCGCTGAGTATTAGTTACTGTTGCTGTAGCTGGGAGTGGAAAGAAGGGCGAACTGCAGCTCTAAAGGATGCTTTTGGGGCTGATGGTCCAACGTGGAGGGTGGGTTTCTGGAGCACGAGGCAGCTGTGACTCAGGTGTGGAAGGCAGGGAGTCTGCAGTGGCGGGTGATGGTTGTTGAACAGCACGGAGCGCGTTGGAGGGAAAGGGCTGCAGGTTGTCCTCTGAAATGTATTTCACAAATGATTTAAAGAAAGCTGCACTAAGCTTATGGCTGCCCTGCCTCCTGCAGAGCTGCTGGCTGGAGCCATTCCATCCAAGGACAGACTGGGGTGGATCCTGTCTAGTACGTGCTGGTGAGCACTTGCTGTGAGCTGGAACAGGGAAGAGGGATCTGGACAGCATGTTGTATCTGAAGCCTTTGAGGAGGGATCCAGATGGTGTCTGCATCTCTTGTTTATCAGGCTAAAAATAAATAACTTTAACAAATCTCAGTCTTCCTTTCCCACTGAAAATTACCACGAATTCCTCGTTCTGGAGCCTTTGGAAGGCATGAAGGGAGCTGGGTTCATACACGGCACCCCTGGGGAATGCTCCTGCCATCGGCAGAAGGTGCCAAGGGCTGTGCAGATGCTTTGAAGGGAGAGCTGCTGCACGAGGGAGCTGAGAGGTGTGTGTAGGAGGACAGATGTGGACGCACATCACCTGGAGGGTGTGCAAGGAGGAAATATCAGCTGAGGGTAAAAACGGCGCTTTGACCTTTTGGAAGAGCTGTCTGTGTGAGGTGGCTGAGGTGCAGTGAATCATTTAACAGAACAGCTGACTCCTTGGGCTGAGCCAGGCAAGGAGTGTCCCAGCGGAGGAGCTGCTTCTCCCAAGAAGGCTCCCAGGGTTCATGCTTAGATGGTTCCTTTAAAGGTTAATTCTCAGTGGCAGCATCTGCAAGAAAACCTGGAGTACTCGGAGGGAACTCAACCCACTACAAAGGGTCTTCATGTTTGTGAGTCTTTTTGGTCTTTGTTTTTTAAATGTTAAAATTTGCTCTTATTCATTTCTCAAGATAAAAAAACTAAAGAGAAAAAGCCAACCCTCCAAGCTGGGCTCCCAGTGCAGAGGCACAAAGGGACAGCCGTGCCGTTCCCGGAGTCGGTGGCGCGGTGGGCTGAGCTTCCTCCTGCTCCAAGGTGGCACAATAAAGAGCTCCTGCAGTCATCTTTTTTTCCTAGGAGTTGCATTGTTAAAACCTTCCGTGGGGAAATCCAGGGACTGTAATTGCTCTGGTCTGACTCTGCCTGCTGAGCCGCTTGAATTAAGTGGGTGTTTTGGCATCCTGAGCAGAGCCTTGTGGGAAGTGACCTTCGCCTTCCGCCGCTGCACTCTGCAACCTGCCGCTAATTAGGATGGAGAGAGCCCTCCTTTGTTTCCAAACACCAGTTTACCTCCGTGCCCGCGTTCTGCCGGGAGCTGCCCGGTGTGACTCGGCGCATAATGAGCGGGGCACAGCGGAGGGTCGGGCTCCGGCACCGCCGAGCGCGGCTTTTAACACGGCGGAGCTGAGCGGGAGGGCGAGCCCGGCCCCGAGCCGCTTGTGGAGCCTATTCACAGCACAGCCTCTCATTAGCCAGCCTCGGAATTAACATCTGAAACGATGCTTTGTGGGGAAAAAAAAAAACAACATTATAAAAAACATCACTTCCACGGCTGCTTTCGGCCAGTATTTGCAAACTCGGGAGTGGCATCAGCGGCACTGGGAGAAGGGCATCGCTGGAGCTGCAGATGGGAGGGATTGGGGCAGGTGTCAAAGGTCCACAGCTCCCTTAGAGAATCACGGAATGGTTTGGATGGGAGAGGACCTTGGGGATCATCCAGTTCCAACCCTCATGCCGTGGGCAGGGACACCTTCCATGAGCGATGGGCTTTGCCTGCCCTTGGGACTGTTCACCCAGGTCATCCCTCCTCTGATGAGAACTACCTTGGCTTCAGGCACTGGTTTATCTGTGGTGGGTGATGAAGAGTTTCTGCCTTTTGGAAAGACACTGATTTCCAACCCTATAAAAAAGGGACAAGGATGATCAAGTTTTCAAAGGTAAAACTCGGCACAACCCCTTCAGGAGAAACTGGAATAGGGGGGCACTTAGAGGGTTCAGGCCAAATTTACTCAGAAAGATTAGTTGAACTATGTTAAAGTTCTCTGTGAATGCCCCCCTTCAAATGCAATTTGGTTAACATCATTTGTGTTGGAAATGATGTTGCAATTAATGTCACTTCGGTTCTGAATGAGGACACACTGCAGGGATTTGCTAACTTTGAGGAAATCCACTTTAAACTCTCACGTCTAACTCTACCCAGTGCTCCCTGTGAGACAGCGTTTGGCCACAGCTGGGGACAAGCAAACAAGGAACCCAACTGACGTATTTGGATGTGTGAAAGATCTCTGCCTGTGCTCTAGAAATACTTAGACCCCAATTCTTCTGAGACATCTTGGATCAAGAGGATTCAACCCAAAAAGCATCAGGCATATGAGTGAGGTGAGCAGTGGGTTGGAGATGTGTCTGCAGACAGCTCAGCTCCCAGGAGGACAGGGATCAGCCAGGGGCTAAAACCATCCCTGTGGCAGGGGTCTGGTCCCTCTGGGGCAGGTGGTGTGGCAGCTCTTGGCTGGAGCCAGAGGAACATGCTCTGCACCTGAATCAACAGGGTTTGGGATGTACCAGGCAGCGAGCAGGTACTCAGAGGAGAGGGCTGTGCTGGAGAAGGGGGTGCAGAGACAGAGCAATCCACCCTGCAGGGACCTCAGAATGACCAAGCCATGTCAGCTCCACCTCAGCACCATCCTGCCCAGGCTTATGGATGGAGTCTTGCAGGCTGGCTGCCTTTGGGCAGAGCAGATGCTCAGGTGATGTCTGGGGGGAGCAGGATCACAGCTGACATCCGCAGGAGCGGCAGCACCGCTCCTGATGGGAGCCAGATCAGCTACTCCTGACCAGCTTGGGCAGCCCCAGCCTGGGTCAGGGCCTGGCAGCAGATGGAGAGGTGACTGTGCTGCAACCTGCCCTGGGTGCTGCTGTTGTTCTGTGTTCACTAAGGTACCCGGGGAGTAGGTTGGATCTCAGGCAAAGGTTCTTCCCCCAGAGGGTGTTTGGGCACTGTCCAGGCTCCCCAGGGCAGTGGGCACAGCCCCAAGGCTGCCAGAGCTCCAGGAGGGTTTGGCTGATCCTCTGGGGCACAGGGGGTGACTCTGGGGGATGTTCCTGTGCAGGGCTGAGGGTCGAACTGGATGGTCCTTGTGGGTCCTTCCAGCTCAGCACATTCTGTGACTCTGTGGCGCCTCACCCCCTGTATGTTCTCCATGAGGATTACCTGGCATGAGCTTTCCAGGAATTGCCACTCAGCAAGGACAGTGCAGTGCACAGGCTGCCTACCTGCCACCTCCTTCCCTCCTCGCTGTTTTTCCCTGTGTCCCTAAATGCTGCCGGGAGATATTGAAGCTTGGATAGTAGCGCCGAGTTGGCAACTTTTAATATTGCTGAAACATAATCAGCTTTTGCTTCTACAGCAATTAGCATGTTATTACCCATAATGTTTTGCATGGCAATTTTGTTGTAAACATTTGTACTAATTCACCATAACCTAATTATTTTTATGACACATAATTATGAAATATTTTTGGAGGAGGAATGGTTTCATTTTCTATTTATACCATTATTTCCTGGAAGTGGCAGTTATTTTTAACACCAGGAAACAGTGTCTCCCCCCTTCCCCAATTAGCCCTTTCTGCTTACTGCCTCGACTTGCTTGGATAGCACAGTAGCTGTGACGATGGCAACTGGAGATGTGTGATGGATTCCAGGAGAGACTAATTGAGCTGTAATTTGTGGTGGTGTGATGCGCAAATGGAGGAACGTAACAAGTGGTTTTCTTTGCTGCTCGGTGGGCACATGTGGTGAGTCCCAGTCACGGCATCTGCCATAATGTCCCTTTCCAAAGTATTTAAGGACAGAGCGATGTGGTGAAGCCACTGCCTCAGGACTTTGTTTCTCAGGAGTGCAACCACCCTGAGCTTGGAGACGGGACCTCTTCAGGGAGGTGCTCTTGGGTTTCATAGGATTACAGAATCTCTTGAGTTGAAAAGGACCCACAAAGATCATCCAATCCAACTCTTGGCCCTGCACAGGCACCCCAACAATCCCACCCTGTCCCTCAGAGCGTTGTCCAAACTCTCCTGGAGCTCTGGCAGCCTTAGTGCTGTGCCCACTGCCCTGGGGAGCCTGGTCAGTGCCCAACCACCCTCTGGGGGAAGAACCTTTTCCTGAGATCCAACACAAACCCCCCTGACACAGTTTTTGACATCAGTAACCTCTTGCTCAATCCTTGGCATCCCTGGACCAGAACAACTAAGAGATTCCTCAGCCCCACCTGTCTTCCAGCTTGGTGTAACTGTGTGACTTACTGAGAGGAGGGGGGTGGAGGGTACCAGAGGTGGGTGGGGATGCCCGAGGAGCCAGGAGAAACATCTGGGCTGTGCTCCAGGCTCCAGAGAAACATCCTGGGCCCAAGCTACAGAGGCAAATACAAAATGCATGTCTGGAGCCCAGCAGTGCTGAGTCCAGCCCTTTGGGCTGATGTGAGAGGGGGGTTTGAATCCCTGCAGCAACATTTGATGGCAAGAGGCCTTCCTTAATCACATTCATGGAGGCACTGTATAGAAAACGCTCAGAATTCAGGCTCACTCTTAACAAGTATGAAACTTGGCAGGCTGAAAGGCTTGTATATCTTGTCTGATCTCCAGTCTGGAGAGGTCTCAAAACGGAGCCATGTGTAGTGCATTGACATCTTAAAAGAATTTCTAAAAAAAAAAAAAAATGCCTTTCTAGATGACTGTATGTCATATAAATGAGATTTATTTCAATGCCTGTCATGATGGTTGAGGCAGTAACAAATCCAGTAATTGCCAGTGCTACGGTCGCATACGCTCTGAATGTTTAACTCTGAGCTACATTTATACAGCGGGTTTGAGGTTATTTAGTGAATCCTTTGCCCATTTTTCTCTCTCTCCTGGTTGGTGGCTGTGGAGTTATGTGGTGTGTCAGCTGCGTTGAGCGTGGTGAGTGTTGCATGCAGGCTGCTGTCTCAGAGCCTGCCTATAATTAGCTGTTAATCGTGTGTAACTGATGAGGACCGTGGAAATTGGGTTAAGGGAAACTCAGTGGCCTTTTAAAATCATTCCCAGGGCTGGATATTAGTGCGAAGTCACACTTCCAGGAAGCCTCCAAGTAATCAGAGGTGCAGAGCTGAAATGAGACAGTGATTTTTTTGTGACTGCAAGACCTAAGAACTGAGGTGGGTTATTACATTTTAGCAGTTTTTTGCCCTCCCTGAATACCAAGAGCCAAAAGTGACTTGTCCCACAGCCCTTCTTAAATGAGGTGGCCTTGTTCTTTGGGTTGTTCACTGCCTGTCAGAAAAGAGAAGGTGACTTGCAAAGTTCTTTCATCTCCAAACTTGTTATCCTTGATCTTTCTGCAGAAGTAATGACTTGAGATAGTGTAAAGACTATCTCACGAAATATCTGGAAAATGAAGTGAACTCCACACTGGGTTATGATCCAGCTGATACTGACACCGAGGTTATCCTTGGCAGAAGTCGAATATTTTGTGCCCAACTGTCAGTGGGACTTTTTTTCCTTCTCCCCAGGGATTACACCTCAACAAGGTCATTCCGAACATCAACAAACAGTTACAAATGTGTCAAAACTCCATCCCGTGTTTGATGTCTGTCACTGAACTCCCTTAAAGGCACCACCATTAAGCATCCTGGGCAGGGATTCTGGGATTGAGTCAAGGATATCTCGAAGGTCCCTGGCAATCACACTGATAACACGGGGAGGTCACTTTTGTGTGTGATGAGTTTTTTGGGTCTGTAAGATACAACAAATACAGTTGCAATGGGTGGAAATGGGTCAGTCCTGCTGTTTCAATCCCTGTGGGGAATTGTGTCTGGGGTGGGAGCAAACAGAGGATATTTTTGTGTTTCCAAGGTAGCTGATAAAGATCAGACTGACCTAATCTAATGCTCTGGAGGTCAGGAAATTAGAAATAAGAGTTCATTGCAGTGGAGAAGTTTCCTGGCTCATCACAGTCAGGAGGTCTCCAATATACTTGATGCTCCAGGAGATAACTTTCAGGTCTTGGCACTGCTTTGTTTTTTTCAGGAATGGGTAAAATAAAAAACAATAAAAGGAGGCAAAGACAAAGGACACCTCTTCTATATCAAGAATCTTATGAAAAATTCATCTCTTATCACTGCTGGAGGTGTTATGAAGACTGAGTTAATTGTGTGTATGATCCTGTTTGTTAGAGCAGGCAGATTAGTATCATCTACTCATAAAAAATCCCCAAAATATTCCACCTGTTTCAATTTCACTGGAGAGCACGTTCATCTCTGCTGTAACCTGCTGGGCCACATGCTTCTTATATATGTGAAATTAATACTTTATTACCATCTATTTTTAAATGCCTTGGCAGAAGGGGGCGAGATGGGCAGCCTGCGATCTCGAAGCACCTCTTGAAGTGCTCGTCACAATGGAGTTTAAAACGGCTTTTGGAGGTGATGCAGGTGTCGGAGGGTTTGTCCGTGGTGAATCCATCTGTGTCAGCCTGGGGCTGAGGGAAGCCACGTGCAGGGCTGACAGGTACCTGAACGCTCCGAAGCCAAATGTGTGTGAGCTCATCCCGGCCTGGGGAATGTCTTTTATTTCCCTCGATTGTGCCTGAAATGTGCTCGTGGGTTTTGCAGGGATGTTGAGGGAGCATCGCAGGAACCGACAGATGGGCTCCAATCTACCCGGGAAGGTGGCTGAGACATAAGTGTTCCAAATTTATGGTGGCCATAAAGAGCCGTGGAGATGATTGATTCTGCTCATTGCTCACGCGGATAACGACGGGTTTTAGAGTAAAGCAGTAACTGATAGCCTCTGAGCTGGGAATTAAATTTCTCCTTCCATGATGTCATCATGATGTCATACTTTATTGCCTGTAATTTGACAGTCTGTCAGGGCCCAAGGCTGCTGTCAGCCTGCTGGGGTTCACGTGTGTGACATCACACGTGCTGTCAGCTCTGGGCTCTGATGATGGTGCTCTTCTAATTGTGATTTAAAATGCTTTCCTGATGGGGGAAGTTATGGCTTTCTTGGGGCATATCTTGTTCCAGGCCAAATGCTGCTGTGGCTGAGGCGGGGGTGTCATTTGGAAAGGTCTTTGGAGGGCAGTGAGTGTAATTCTTGGTGCTGTGTGTTCAGAAAAATATGGGTTCTGTAGCCTGGAGGACACTGTCACAGTGAGAATGATTGTTAGGGGATGAAAGGGTGGCTGACACTTGTAATCCTCATGTCCTTTGCCTCCCCTCTTCAAAGGAATATTGAACTGCAGTCCTCTAAGGACAGGGAGGAAGGAGAAGAAATATGGCCCCAAACTCATGCATGGCCAGGCTGGTTGATGGATCCTCATGGTCCTCCTTGGAATGTACCTTCTGCTCAAATGAGGACTTTGGGAATAAAGAAACCCCAGGTGATAAGTAATGTACCTCTTAATTCTAATAAGAGACTTTCTCCTCCTGTCCTGGGGAAGTGTGTCTTGCCTCTTCCAACTCCTGGCTCCTGGACCTAGGAAAGGGTGCTCCCAAGGGCAGGTGGAACATGAGCAGCGAAGCCAGACCTGAGCAGTGGCTGCTCGGATTTAGTGAAGGATTCAGGTTGCTATTTGGTTACCATGGTGATACACGTGGTTTTTAACCACGATGGAGGGATGGGTGGATGGAGGAGGGTACAGCAGTGGGCTGTAATCCTGTGTTCCCAAGGCCTGTACCTCCCAGGAGAGCACAGCAGACCCTGCAGTGTGCTGACCACAGTGAGCTGGTGGAAAGCCCAGAGCACATGTTTTACCCATATACATTATATAAAATCTCTATTTTCTCTTTTTGCTTTGGAGAGGGAATTCTCCTGGAGCAGGTCTCTTGTTTGAGCACGCAGTCACCCTCTTCAGCTCTTTGGACTTCTATCTGTAACCCCCCGTGCTGGTTATTTCTAAGCAGAAAGTTTATTTTGACACTTCTGCTGTGTCCCATCCTCCCTTCAGCCTCCTCCCCAGCTGGCTGAACTGGGTCTGGATTCCCTCGAACAGAAGGGGAGGCACAGGAGCAAAGTCTGTCGTTTTTTTCCCCAAGCCTGTGGCAGCAGATTGCAGCATTTTCTGTCAGCTCATTAATTGTGAGGGCATTAACTTCCGAGGGGGAAAACACTGGGAATACCAAGGTTGCTGCTTGGATGTTATAAATAACACACTGGGTAGTTCTGGAGCGGTAGAGAGCTCAAAAGCTGCCAGGTTTTCCTGGGAATACCTGGAGCTGTTCTGTGTTGGGGCTCTGAGTTAATGGAAGAGCCTGTGCTTCGTTGGCCAACACAACTTGTCTGGTGTGGAAGCAGTAAAGAATAAATGTGGGATCCGTGGCCCTGGAACAACAGGTTAAGCTTGGTATATTCCTGCTGCCAGCTCATAGGAACAACCCTCCAAGAGTAAAGTGATATTATTTCTGGAGTGTGGCAGATATGTTGTCCCAAAACTGCACCAGGAAACTTCAGGAAGTTGACATCAAAGCTCCCACTGATATTCAGTGTCTCTCTGGTGGGTGCCAGCTCTTGCAGAAGGACAAAACCAAATCAAAGAGACAGAGGCAGCAGCAGTGACACTAATTTTTTTGGTTTGTTTTAATATTTTAAGGTTTGTTTTTTTGGTTTTTTTTTATAAAAATGCACCCCTGTGGCACAGCTGGCTACTTGCTCAGCACAACAGCACCAGAGAGGAAATTCCTTCCCAGCGCTCACAGGTGATCAACTTACACATTGAAGCATGAAGTTTGATTACCCTTGTAACATTTTATTAGCTTGCATAGCTGCAAATGTTATTAATGCTCATAAAATTATCCAGTCCTTTAAAATGTCTGTTCCACTGGTGTGTGTCTCCATGACTTCCTGGGGTAGTGGATTCCAGAAGTGACTGCACTGGGTCAAGTCGTATTTTTATTTTATTTCTCTTAAATCTACAGCCCTTTTGTTTCGTCAAGTGCCCCCAGTTTGCTTTTAAATTACAGGGCAGGCTAATGTGGGGCTGGTTTTGACGGCAAACTTTGCTCTTCCATGGATTTTATTATTTTTTTAGTATACTGATATTTTCATGTATAGAATGTATTAATGAGTGATGTATGTTTGTGTACATATGGAGATGCCTGCAAGTGTGTGCATCTCTACATGTATAAACACATACACAGTTGTATTTTCTGTGTCCCTTGGGCATCTTGGTGGGTGTCTTGGGTGATGTGGTTTGGTGCAGGGATCCCACTCCCTCTTCTCTGCCGGTGAGAGATGCTCTGAGAGGCAGAGCAATAGCAGGGAAGAAAAATGCTGCTCTGAGCTGTGTGTCAGCAGACTTCAGACACAATGGGGCCCGTGTTTCCAGACAAGCCTTTTTAGCTAATTAGCTTAGTAAAAAATCTATTTCTCTTCTTAAATTCCCTGCCATCCATCCACCTAATAGAGTGAAGCAGCTCTATATTGTGTGAGGGGTATGCAATGCATCATCTCTCTCCAGTATTTATCTCATCGCTCCCAGCCTGCTCTCTCCATCTCTCTGTCCACAGGAGCTGCCTGGCTGCCCATTCTGGCTGCTCCCTTCTGGCAGTGACTGTAATGGGAATGTGCTGGAGTTCTCCTTATGTTCTGGGGGTCCCTTTGCTGTCCCACAGCAGCTCAGCCATGACCTTGTCCTTACTTGTCTGCTGGTTTTCCTACGACAAACATCCAGAAAGCAGAGATTTCTACAGCTGTGTGGTCTGGGAGAACCTCCTCGCCCTGCAACCCACGTAGGATCTGAGCTGGTCTCCACCATCGCCTCTGGAGCTGGGATGGGTGAGGGAAATCAGGAAGAGTTGCTTTGGCTTCAGCATAATGTGGGCAGGAGGATAGACCCCCTGAATTTCGGTTGTGTGGACAACTGAGTGGGAACATCTCTTCTGGAAAGACATCTGAGTCTCACAGACCCATATGGCAACAATTTTCACCTGAGGTCTGGATTTGGACGTTGCAGCTCCAGCCTCCGGCGGTTGGATTGCAGTGAGCAAGATTAAAGAGCCACTAATATTAACGATTGTTTTGGGCAGGAATGCATGGACCAGAGTCAAGTTGCTTTTTAACTTTCTTCTTGGGAAACTGAGCTGAGTGAACTCCTTAAGGTTCTCACCTCAGAGCTGTTTTTTCACACCCAAAATTATTATCGTAGCCATTGTCTGAACTCGCTGTTTCCGACAATATTTTTTTTGTAGGTGTGAGTACAAAAGCTGGACACACTGTTCTTGCCAGCACAGGGTAGAAATGTGAGATACAACTCCCTTTATACTCCACTGGGCACGGGAAGTGTGGCTGGCTTCGGGTTGGTGCTGGAAGCTCTCGTTTAGCCAGATGTCTCCCCTGACCTTTGCTCGCTGCCCCACACAGGGCGTGAACCCTCCTCTGTGTCCCCGTGAAGTGTGCTGTGCTTGGCCACGCTGCTGGACGTGTGTGGGCTGTCAAGTACTCGGGGATGGCAGGCCTGGGGATTGATAAATGGTGAGCTGGTCACTGCTTTCCTGGGCTCTGCTTTTGTTTACGGCTCTTGAGGTGTTGGAGGAACGTGGAGTCGGCTGCTCTGGCTGGAGGAGAAGTGCTGCCGCATCGAGGCTTTGTCTTGAATCCTTTAGGTTTTTTTAATCTGTTTACAAGCTCACATTGCATGAAGTTGTTGAGCCCTCATTAGTTTACCAAGAAAACACATTTCCTACAGCTTGGTGACCTGTCCTTGTGTGGAGTTCCTGTGCTATTATCCCCTGCAGATGCTCTCAGCCGTTTTTCAACGCGTTGCTGAAAACCTTTGAATGTGAACTGTGAGCCGCTGTGGTCCTTCCCCTCCTTCATGTATCTTTTTACTGACTTGCTTGTTTTAATAACAGAAATTAAAGTGTTGGGCAACAATTTCTAAAACTGTTTAAAAACAGAACAAAAGCCCAAGAAAATTCTGGAACAGAATGCCTTTGTTGGCGAGAGTTAAAGTTTGTAAATATTTATTCTTCATGAGCAAAAAATATCAGGCTGTTGTGAGAGAAAAAAACCAGGCAATTCAAATTTAAAGCGACAGCCCCACGTAGGAATGGGGAGCCTGCAGAAATGTCAATAGGTCAGGCCCAGCCATGGTATTGGCATGCAAGCTCCTCTGCCTTCCCAATCCATGAGAGCACCTCCTACCCTTCGTTGTAGTTTGGAAAACAGATACAAGTGTGTTTGTGTTTCTGTGCTCCTATCAGTGGATTATTAGAGCTCAACCTGTGTGGCAGACCATTGTCATCCCAAAGCCTGCCTTAGAGTCATGTTTACGTTGGATATTAGGGAATATTTCTTCACTGAAAGGGTTGTCAAGCACTGGCACAGGTTAACTAGAGCAGTGGTGGAGTCCTCATCCCTGGAGGGATTTAACAGCCACGTGGATGTGGCACCCGGGGACATGGGTGGCCTTGGCAGTGCTGGGGGAATGGCTGAACTCGACCTTAGAGGGCTTTTCCAACCTAAACAATTCTGTGGTTCTGTGCTGTGTGGATGCAAGGAGGAAAAATTCTACGACAACTCCTTTTGACTGGCCTTTGGCGTGTTTTAGAAGCAGAGCAAGGCATGGAGCATGTGGTGCCAAGGGCAGAGAACTTGTAGATGTGGCACATGGGGACATGGTTCAGTGGTGGGCTTGGCAGTGTTGGGATAATGGTTGGAGTTAATGATCTTAGAGAGCTTTTCCAACCTTAATGATTCTGTGATTCTCTGAATGACCTGCTAACACATGATGGGAAGCCCCACCTCTTGGCTCTGCTCTCCCACTCGCTCCTGGCTCTGCTTTGCAGGCTGTCTTTCGAAGGCGGCTGGAACAGCGATCCCAGGACAACCTTCCCTGGGAGTAGTTAATGGCTTTTGCTGAATGATCAGGGGCTCTCTAAACCTTGGTGTGGCTCCCTGGATGCTGATGACTGGCATTGAGGGGTAGATTTCCTGGGCGGCTCTGCCTGGCCAGACCCTCTGGAAGCGGCATGAGGATTCCAGGGTGTGTTGGCTGCCTGGAAAATCTGCTGGGGACTTGGCTCTCCAGGAGCTTTGCTTCCTGCAAAGGAAGGAGGCTACTATTGCACGCCTGAGTTTTGCAAAGTCAGGGTTGTAAGCTGGGGGTTGGGCACGGGAAGTTTTTCCTGAAGTAAATGAAATAAATAAAACAAAAATATGGGCAAGGAACTGAAGGCAAGGCAAGGCTTTTGTTCTGCTTTGTATTCTGGCCTACTCTGTTCAGCTCTGCATTAGTCTCTGGTTTACTGTGCAGCCTTGGTGCTCAGACACCAAACCCTCAGAGGAAGCGCATGCGCAGGTACTCGTGGAGGTCACCTCACCCCACATCTTTGGGGCACGGCTCGCTTTTTGTGAGCAATAATTCACTGCTGCTGTGGTACCTTGATTT